TACCATCTTATACTTATTCAGTCCCTTGAAGACTGATAGGGGCTTTAGTTTGTACTTAGGAACTACTTAAGGGATTGATTCTACTTCGGTTTGTTCAACCTTATTTGGTTTTGCCTCAATCTCTACCAAAGGGTCTACATCTTCTGCATTGCTAGTCTTTACAATCTTTTCCCTTTTCTTTTTCTTCTCATTGCACTTTAGGTTGTATAACAGGGCATTGGCTTGTGCCAATTGTCCTTCCAAAGTGTCCAATTAAGCCTTAAACAACTAAACCTCACCACAAAACTCTTGTTTAGAAGTTTCTTCACTGGAGTCTTTCTTATGCAAAGATTCCTCATTCATAACTTTTTATTCAACTATAGGTTCCATCTCCGGAGAAGGTTTTATCTTTGCTTTGGTTCACTCATGCTACTTTAGCCATCTCCCAACAATTCGCCTCTATCCTTCATTAGAATTGATACTAAATTGTAAACCATCTCTTAGCAATCTACCTTTATCTTTCACTAAAATTGAGGAAAAGGCTCCTATACCAAATTGTAAGTCATCTCTCAACAATCTATTTCTATCCTTCCCTAGAATTGAAGTATGTATAAACTTCATATCATCTTAGTTGGTGGAGTTATAAATTTTTCTTTTCCAATTTGTCAACTTACCTCATTTATCCAACCACCTCTAATTTAGCCTTAGTTAAATTCCTTTATCAAGGTTCCCACCTATTATACCATCTCTTACTTGGATTCAACTACTCATTACATAAGTAACTCATCTATCTACAAATTCCTAAATTCTCTCTAAATCCCTTTCCTTGAGTTAGATTGGACTTAAAGTTTAACTACACTCTTTATAAGTACAAGTGCAACTAACCAAGCATACCAAGCCTCTAGGTTCTTAACTTCTTTAGGTACAACAAGACTTGATCATAGGGCCCTCTGAATCCCAAACCTTGAGTGCATCTCTTACTTTGGGACCCTGGGGGAAACACTATGGCCTAATGGCCCAATATGGGTACCTTTACTCCCCACTTTCATCCCAAAGGGAAGGCTTAAGCCCCTTGAAAGGAGTGAAAACTAATGAACTACATAGTACTCAAGTGGGGCACCACACCATATGAATTGAGAGCACTACAATCGATTTCCCTTCCGAAAGTGGGAGTTGCTCTTGAGCACTTCCTTGAATAGCCTTTCAAGCACCACCCAAGTCTATACTCACTCCCACTCAAGGCTATTAACCCCTAGTCCCAACCTCAACTCAGTTTGAAGGTACCACTGGAGAGTTCCTTTAAAACTAGGATTGAGTCCTAAACCTCACTATCCTTACTATACTTGTGGAACTCTTTGCAATCCCCCTTTCCCCAGGGGACGATCACTTTGAACTTTCACCCCATAACCTGCATTAGTATTCGGGGACTTGGTTTTATACTCAATCTTGGACTTAGTCTCAAACTCAGTCTTGGACTCAGTCTCAGACTTGATATTGGATCTCGGTATCAAACTTAGTTTCGGAGTTGGTCTCAAACTCAATCTTAGACTTGGTTTCATCTGATGAACTCTTTATCATTTTGGTCATGATTTCTGGGATCCTTTAGCCTACGCCTACTCAGGGAGTGGATTCCTTACGCGTACCTCATTTGTAACCTTGGATGACACACTCCTTGATCAATGATGGTGTGGTATGGTGGAAGAAGAGAATGTAGTAAAGATTGAAAAAGAAGAATAGGATCTGGAAACAAGCTAACATAGATTTAGATCTAAAGAACAAGGGAATAACAACAAAAACTTGATCTTGAACATTGAGTAAAGAATTATCAAAACACTTTACCCTTTAGGGATAAATTCTAGTGTTTGAGATATGGGAACAAGTGGGGTTTAAACCCCTTCTTATGAATGGATCAAATTTAATCTCAAATGGATGGTCAAATTCTATAATACTATAATTAATATATTACTTAACATGTATATACAAATATGTATTTAGAAACTTTATATATATTATTTTACATATTAATAACTTACTTTACCTCTCTTTAGTTTGGCTTCCCAATTTATTATATTACTTCTTGCTTTGCATTTAGTATTGGCTTATGTATAAACTCCATATCATCTTAGTTGGTGGAGTACTAACATTATATTAGGCCATAGGTATGCTTATATTGTGTCTTATTGTTTTGACTGTTTTGAGACTTAATCTTAAAATTAGAATTTTTAGGAGGTGTAAGTATATATTGGCAAAAATATCTAGTTTCTATATAGCAAACTAAGAGCTTCTCACCTCCCAACCACCCTTGAGCCACTCTACTTTATTATCACAAGCAAAGTATGGAGTTCAAGGATTGTTATCCACTAGTTCCTCATTAAATTAGTGATAAGACTCAATACTAAGTATGGGTTGCTAATCTAACCAAGGTTAAGCATAGTAGCAATCTCACAACTACAGAATTGATACACTAGTTGTTATGACCTAACCCTAAATAACAAACAAAGAAGCTTAGCCTTGCCTAGATTATATTATTCCTCTTCTTGAGGTTCCTCACCATCCAACCACCCCCAGCTACCTCAAATTTTTCACCTCTTATCATGAGCCTTTAATGTAGGTTAAGTTCTTTACCCTAAAATCCATCATTAGTTCTTTAACCAATGTGGTTAAAGTTAATGCCTAACAATTCTTGGATTTTTCTGGATGATGTTTAATAGATCACTCCTCAAACTCTATGAATTAGACCATTTAATAAGTTTGCCTAGTGTTCAACTCCTTCTGTGTGAATAGATGCATAAAAGGTCTGTGATCTGTTAACACCATAAACACCGCACTATGAAGATAGTGCCTTCATGTTTGCAAAACATGAATAATTGAAAGTAACTTTTACTTATATATGGAATATCATTACTCCATAGGATTTATAGTCTAACTCTTATATGCAATGGATTGTCCCCCTTGTATAAAAAATCCCTTTAGTGCATAGCCACTTACATCACAAGTCACCTTATAAAGTATTGATGGATCAACAATATGAAGTACTAAAGCCTCACTAAACAACCATTTCAATGCCATAAAACTGTCCTTTATAATTTTTCCATTCGAATGACGCATTTTTACATAACAATTGTGTGAAGGAATAGCCACCTTCACAAACTTATGTTAGAAATGTTAGTAGTAACTGACCATACCAAGTAAATTATGTAGCTTAGCCATTAAAGTTAATGTAGACCAATTTTCCAACCTAGCCACCTTTTTTAGATTTGTTTTGACATCCTTAGATGTCACAATGTAGCCTAGATACTTCACTTTTGACCTTGCAAATTTATATTTGCTCTTTTTCATGTAAAGTTAATTTTTATATAGTAATAAAAAAACTTTATATAAATGCACCTTATACTCCTCCATATTCTTACTAAAAATAAGAATATCATCTAAAAAATCTTTACAAAGTCATGTAAATAATGTTTAAACACCTCCATTATCAACCAAGTAAATGTGGCTGGTGCATTTGTCAAACTAAATAACATAATTGTGAATATAAAATATCCAAAGCTTGTGTTAAATACTGTATTAGAGATAAATATGTTATCTATTGCAATCTAATAATATTCAATCCTCATATAAATCCCTGTAAATACTTGGGTTTCGCCAAGTTTATCTAAGATATCATCTATATGCAGCATTGATATTTCATATTTTACTATATATTTATTCAAAGTTAATACACATCTACATTAAGCCATCCTTTTTCAAAAACAAAATTGGTGCACCAAACAAATATTTACTTAGCTTAATAAATTCAAACTCAATTAACTTTTTGATTTATCATTAAACTTCTTGCTCTTCTACATAGTATAGCCAAAATAGATGTTCTTAAATTGGCTTTGTCTTTGACTCTAGTGTATCATGTTCCACACCTCATAATAGAGGCAACCTATAAGAAAGTTCAGATGAAAAATATAAAAATAAATTCAAGTACAACCCACATTATTGCTTCTCCTTTACATGTGCTTTAGTCCCCCAAGTCACAAATAAATAATAAATAACTATAAAGTGATTTTCCATTACAACAAGTCCACTTTAAAAATGTAATAAAGAGTATAATTGGAGGTTAAACTCTCTTTTCAAACCATACATCCTCAACACCACAATGCTTCAGTAAGACATATTTAATACTTCACTCTATCTTTGCATCTACCTTCACCAACCATAACATCCCAAAAAATAAAATCTATATAATAAATTTCTACAAATAAAAAATATCTAAAAGTATGATTTTTCTAATCAGCCCTCTTATGAAATCACACATTCTTCCTCTCTCCTCAAGCAACTTAATACCCCATTGATAGAGTGAGCAATATTTGAGCTCAAATGAATTCCTTAAATTATTAAGGAGTTCAATAGTTTAGAGGATTCTATATAAGCATTGAAATGCTAAATAAAGGTAGTTGCACTTTCCATTATACATAAAAGACTCCTCCTGTCACTAAGCAATTCAATATTTATGTAGAAATTTTTCTCTTTAACAAACTTTACTAAAACAAAATTATCAAATCACTCTTACTACACACAATTGAGTTAATGAGTAATGATTGAACACATCTTCCATGAATTAGAATGGTTTTTCTGTCATCCTCACATTATAAATTTTGTAAATTTTTAATATTTCATCCATTACATTGTTGTCTCATGCTGCTATTTGGGTGCTGCAAGACCCTCAAGATGCTATTGATTAATACGTGTGACAAGAAGATTGCAAAGCTTAAAAAAAAAGGTAAAATTGTTAAATTTGTAAGTGAATACACATTAATTTTGAAAAGATTTTTTAGACAAACATGGAAACTGATATCTTCTTCTTATATTAGGCTGTGCCTTCCAATAGAGAACATTGAATGGACAGAATTAGTAGTAAACAAAATTTCAATGATGTTTAAAATCCAAAAAGATTGGCCATTCTACTACTTGTTCTTTACTTATGGATAATCAACCTTATAATGTCTAAATTTACTACAATGATAATAACCTTCCTCACAAAGAACTTTTCCTTTGCATCTAAAATAACCACCACATATTTTAGTTTGTCATGTTTGTTCTTGTCCTTCTGTTTACATCAATCATCATAATAATTCTCGACCAGAAGACTCCTTGAATGCTTGAGTTAGTACATAGCTCCACCAGAGGAACACAAAGCATACCAGTTGCTCGAAATGTTGAAAATGGCTGTAGTGCACATCACAAATTGTCAAGACAAAACAGCATTAGTGTTTCATTTAGCCGACTCTTTCTAGAACTGGGAGCCTGTAGTGCAAGGTGACTGCTGTGTCAGGATGGTGAGTCGCAGGAGCATAAAACTGGAACTTCATCACCAGGTAGGAATCACTTGGAGCCACTCCTGTAGATGGAAAGAATAAAAAAGAAAGAAAGACAAAACCCATACCAACATAGCATGTGTCTGGCCTTGTCAAACTGCATTGCAAGCTCTTCGCAAAGTGTTTGATCTTCACTTGCTGCCATACAATCAAGAGTGTTTAGTAGGAATCCAAGAGTTTTCTTTCAGTGCGTACCACAGAAGACGCTTCTCCCCTGGCTAGAGCTTGTTCCAGCCGCATCGCTGGACTCGCGGTCGCGTCTAGAGTGGAGCCAGCAGCCGCTACAAAAGCAACACCTTGTCTGTTTTACTCTAGAAGACTATAGGAAAAAAAACAAAAAAGCGTTTTTCTATGCACCTCTTTCCCCTAGCACTTGCAGCCTCCGAAACTCGGAACCTATAGACACCAAAGTGGTGGACACTTGGAGGTGCACATCGCCATGAAACGTTACTGCCACGTCCAGAGCTTCTCCGACGTTCTTGAGGCGATCCACCAAGATTTGGAGCTGACCCAAGTCGGGCATCTGTACAAGAGTCTGTCCAAACAAGAATAAGTGAAATAAAGTGTAGAATTCCTGGAGGACAAGAAAAAAACTTAGTGATACCCGAGGCAAATTGTGAACAGCGTCAATGGTGTCTTGAAGCTCCTGGACGTCGCCTCGACTCAGGGGCTGTGAGATTGGGATGTCCTGAACAACAGCCGACCTGAATCCCTGGAGAGTTTCTTAGATGCCATACGAAAAATCGAGCTAGCCCAGACGAAAGACGAAGAAGAAGAAGAAAAACATACCTTACTTTCCAGAGTGAGATATGGCATTGGACGCTCGTTCAAAGAAGGCCGCTTCTTCACCAGCTTGATTTGCAGCTTATCTCCATCCATGCTCACGCTGCTCTTGAGCGCTCGCAGCAGCAGGTTTAGATCCAGCGTGAAAGCAATGCGGTCTTCGTTCTGGCTGGAAATCCGATAGTCATCGAACAGCAGTGCCTAGAGCATACATGTATCAGACAGAGGAAGGAAAAACCGAAAGAGAGTGAGAAAAAGAATGCCCACCTCCTTGAACTGCGCAATCGCCTGGACGCCATCGGCATTGACGGCATTGTGCATAAGCGTGACGTGCGTCCTGGTGAGATAGACGTAGCACGTCTTCCCAATCTTCTCAAACGCCGGCACGAATTCTGGCAAAGAACCGGCGAGGAGGATCCATCAAGAAGATCGAGCTATCTATCGATCGAATCGATGGAACCGGCTTACTCTTCTCCAGCGTCGTGACGCCCTTGTCCGTGAAGAATGCCTTGAATTTCATCGTTAGGGTTTTAGGGCAAAGCCCAACCAGAGGTTTAGTTAATGTTAATAATACAGAGTAACAGATACATTTATCCCTAGAATATGCTCAAACAGTGTTTATTTAATCTGACGTAATTTGATTAATTTTAAATCACGAATAGCGACTTATAGCGACCTTTTAACTCGAGCGTCCAATAGAATCACATGATTCTAACGTGTGAGTGGAAGTTTTGTCTCGTCATTGAGGACCACACTCGTGGTAGCGTACAGCGTTAGTAGTCCACGGCTCCAAGTCGGGAGTATATATCTTTTGTTCTTGCTCCAAGCTCCCCAGAGTCGATCATCAATAGTGAAGCGTGTAGTGCTTGCTTACCATGGCTACTATAGCTTCTACTTGCCAGCTCCTGTTTTCGCACAAAACCACAGTCAGTCGAAGCTTTGAGAGGAGAATTGCAAGTAGGACTCACCAGAGATGCCTCGTCACAGCGAAGGTTGCCAAGCAAAAGAGCTCCAGCGTTGCCACCGCACCTGCTTCTCTAGAGATCGCTCCGGATGTTGCGACGCAGCGCGGTGTTTCATCGCCGGTCCTTCTTGAATGCGTCCTGGTCGTGTACAAGAAGAACGTGCTAGATCTCGTTGACGTCCTCGCGGATTTCCGGGACGACGCCGCCGATTTTCTGCTCGGCAAGAAGGTGACGGTTCAGCTCGTGAGCGAAGAACTGCTTCCTGGTAAGCACGAGAGCGGTTTAGATGCTGAACTTAGCTTCTTACCTGTCCTTGGTTCTCTACAGGCACCCAGGAACCGAAGATGAGCGACGTGGTGCCGATAAGTCACTGGTATTGTGCTCGAGACAGAATCGAAGCGAGCGGATGTATCACATACAAAGTCCAGATAGTTGTAGATAAGAGCTTCGGGAATGTTGGGGCTGTTCGTATTGGCAATGCTCACCCGAATGAATTCTTTCTCAGCACCTTCCACATTGTGCAGCCAGATGGAACTTCAGCTTACTTCACCAGTGATTCATGGCTGCACCCGACCGCGGAGAACTGCCCCCGAATTTTCTTCAGAAACAAGGTAAGGCATCTGCACATATATATTTTTTTTTCGTTAAAGCTGAGGAAAGAAAAACCTGATGTGATAAGGTGTGCCTACCTGGCAACACTCCCTTGGGCCTGAGAAACTTTCGTGCACGAGAACTCCAAGATATTCAAGGCGACGGAACAGGCGAGCGAAAGGATAGCGACCGGGTTTACGACTACGATGTGTACAACGACCTCGGGAACCCTGACAACGACATTGAGCTGCGGAGACCCGTTCTTGGAGGAGGCGAGTTTGCTTATCCTCGCAGAGTTAGAACCGGTCGCCCGCCTACACAAACAGGTGAGTCACGAGTTCATACAAAGAGCAATTTTACTTACCGATATCTAAGCTAAACAGATCCACGGTCGGAGAGTTTGCCTCCCGGAATCGATAACATGTATGTCCCGTCGGACGAAACGTTCATGAGAGAGAAAAACTCCAACTTCGTAGGGGACACGATCAAGGCCGCTGCACATTATCTGGTTCCAGCTATCAAATCGGCATACAGGAGGGACAAGAGCCCTTACTTTCAGAGCTTCGAACAGATTATAGCGCTGTATGACGACGGTATTGAGCTGGGACAAGACGTCAGTAGTACAAATGCAAATGAAAAGAAGAAACTTCGGAATCCCTTCACCTTGATCAACCAGCTGACAGATACCGATAAAACCAACAACAGCCTTCTCAAGTACCCGTTGCCGCAAATTATCCAAGGTAGGATATGGAGGTGTTCCGGGGTTTTGCCTCTCATCGTCACTTCTTTTTGCAGATGATTGTGAATCCTGGATGCTGGATTATGAGTTCGGAAGGCAGACTATTGCGGGTCTGAATCCCATGATAATAAAAAAGCTCGAGTCCTATCCTCCTGTAAGCAGTCTGGATCCCAAGATTTTCGGGCCAAAAGCCACTGCACTGAAAGACGAACACATACTGGATCAGCTCAACGGCCTCACTGTTCAAGAAGTAAGAAAGTGTTTTTCTAAGAACCAAGCTTCACCGCTGGTGTTTGTCAGGCTTTGGAGGCGAATAAGCTCTTCATCCTGGATTACCACGATGCATTCCTGCCATACTTGAACAGGATTAATGCGCAGGAGGGAAAGAAAACGTACGCAACACGGACTATATTGTTTCTTACAGACAGAGGTGTCTTGAAGCCTATAGCCATCGAGTTGAGCCTCCCAGCAGCAACAGCGACCGGCCAGAGAAAGAACAGGGTATTTGTCTGCTCCGACACACCAAAGAGGGACTGGGCTTGGGAAGTTGCCAAAGGACACGTTGCCGTGAATGACTGTGGATACCATCAACTCATTAGTCACTGGTAAGAGAATGATACAAAAAAATATATGGCAATGCTTACCTGATCGCGCTCATCCAGGCTGAGAACGCATGCCGTCATGGAACCGTTTATAATTGCTATGCACAGGCAGCTGAGCATTCTTCATCCAATCTACCTCCTGCTGATTCCGCACTTCAAAGACACAATGACCATCAATTCCAAAGCTCGCCAATCGCTGATCAATGCATCAGGAATCATCGAAGACAACTTCACGGCGGGAAATTACTCCATAGAACTAACTGTTGTCGTCTATGGATCGCTGTGGAGATTCGACCAGCAGGGACTTCCAGCTGACTTGATCGCCAGGTAAGGGGATTTCTAGCTTGAAGCTATCCAAACAAAAAGCAAACAATGATTTTTCCCAGCCAAATCCGAAACCCAGACACGGCCTAGACCTCCTCATTGAAGGCTATCCTTACGCAGTTCTGGAGTGCATTGAAGCAATGGGTGACAGACTACACAGACATTTTCTACAAGGACGATGCTTCAGTTAGGGATGACACTGTGGTGGCAAGAAATCGTGAATGTTGGTCAAGCAGACAAGAAAGTTGGACGGACAGACATGAACACAAAAGAAAACTTGACCGACGCACTAACCATCATGATTTGGATCTCATTGTGCCACCCATACGCTGGATTTCCAGTGAATAGCGCTCACAAGCTTAAACATTTGTGAAGAAACGGGGAGAAATTCTACCTCTTATCCTCCAAAGCCGAAGCGACGTTGGTGATGACAACCATCGAGATCCTCTTCATGCATTCCTCTGACGATTGAGAACTGCCGCCTTGTCAATCTGCCTTACACGATGAACCCTAAAATCCCAAATAGATTTAGCTGTTAAATTTAATTTTTCCCGCTTTATAATTATTAGAGTTCTTCATACTTTATTTATAATAGACACAATCTCCAAACGGTCTCTCTCCTCTCTCTCGCGATCGATTCATCTAGTACGCCAAGAACTCGCAGATGAAGGGCTGATCCGCGTGCTCGTCGTTGCAATACAGCCCTGGATGCTGCTTGAATCCCTGCTTGGCCAGCAATTCGCGCACCGCGAGCACCAGATCCTTGTTCCCAATGCCTCGTCCATCGCTCTCGCGCAGCACGCTCTGGACGGCATTGCTGAGAGCACCGTAAGCACCCTCCTTGTTCCCCCCGGGCTTCGCATCCGCTGAGGTCTCATCCGATTGACAGCCGCTCACAAGCACCGCCATGTCCGATCTGCGACCCTGGTTCCCACTTCCAGCGTAGGCATCGTGTGGATTCGCGTGCGTTTTCACCGCCGGCGATGCGTACTCCTCCCCCGATTCCTCGAGCTTTGTCTTGAGGAAATCCTGCGCGAGACCACCGATTGCTCCCCAGATCCCCCCCTGGCCTCCATCGTTCCCGCCGCTGCTCTGGAGCCTCTGGAAGAGGAGATTGACGAACTTCTTCACCTTGGGGCTGGCGTCCTCGCCGAAAACGTCGAAGAGCGTGGGTCGGATGTTGCCCACGCTCACGTCTTGCCTGCCGGTCTTCTCCTTGAGGAGATCGATGAACACCGACAGCGGCAGTGACTTGTTCTTGACGACGTCACCATTCTCAGTTTCTTCCTCGAGAACTTGCTCTTCTTCTTGGTCCTCTTGGCGACGGTGGCGGCTGCCCAGCTTGAATGGGAGCTTGATGCCGGATCGGCTCTCAAACGCGCTCTGGACGCCCTGGAAAACGAGATCTCGGAATCCACCACCACGGCCACCTTGTTCTTCCTCTTCTCCGGAGTATGATCGCGATCCCGTGGAGCTATCGCCGACTTGCTCCTTGGCATTCTCGATCAATCCACCGCTGTGGCACGAATCCGAGACGAGCGTGATCCGGCATCCCTCCGGGAGCTTGTCAACCAAGTCGCGGAAATCATCATCTAGAACAAGAAAAATCAAGTTTTTATCAAGATGATAACGATCGATCGATCTTACCAGTGATCAAGTTCATGTCGCAAGGAACAATGCATTCGTCGTAGCCCGTATCATCCGGCTCGCCCGACTCGGCAGGAACTCGGACACCATGGCCACTGTAGTGGAAAAAGAGGATACCGCCATCCTCGGTCCCCTCGATGAGATTGGCAAGAGCTTTCCGGATGTTGGCGCCGGTGGGCTGAGTGCCCTCGGAATCGGTGTCGATGAGCACCACGATTTCATCCTCGGCGAAGCCAAACTTCTCCACCAGGCTGCGATACATCCGCTTCACATCGTTGACACAGCCGTGGAGCTCGGCCTTGGTACCGGGGTAATTGCAACCCACCAGTAGCGCCCTCTTGCCCATGGATCGATCGATCCGCGAAGATCACTGCAAAGAGGAGGAACCCAGATGCGCAAAAGAGGATTTTTGTCTTAGGAAAAAGAGGATTTTTTCGCTGAGATCTAAGAATGCAGTATCGATTGTGTGGGGAGATCGAGATAGCACTTACCAGCGATGGGATCAATCGATCGAAGAAGGCCACTCCTTTTCTTTCCAGGACTGAGAAAGAAGATAAATACTCTCACATAGTGGCTATGGGCTATGGATTAACTAAATCCGAGTCTCGCTACTTTCTTTTCTAGCTAAAATCCGGAAGAGCGTGTTGTCGGTGACAGTTCCGTAGAGAGAATCTTTTCTCCGTACGAGAGCATTTTGGGGGAATATTCGTGCTTCTTCTACCTGGAGTGAAGAAAAAAATTTCTCTAATGGAAGCTCCCCCTTTTTCTAGTTAGGGTTTTAGCGGAAGGAAAAAAGGCTCCTTCCTTTGAGTGTCGCCAACGTTGACGTGACTTAATGTAGCCTCCAGATAGATATTTTAGGGCTCCTCTCCTTTGTGGCGCAATGGCGCATCGTCTAGCAGCGCGATCTTCCTCCAGAGCCGCGATTCGGCGGCTGTGCGTGCGATTCTTCCACTCCAGCACCACAAGCAGCGGCGATCGATCGGCGCCGCGCCAGGTACTGAAATATCTCGAGGAATCGCAACGGCGGCAGCCTTTTGGGGTCCGATCGCTGCCATTCCATGGCAGCCCGCGGTGGATGCAGACGGCCGCGGCGTCGGCGCCCCGGTCCGTGCCCCTCTCGCGCCTCACGGATAATTTCCTCGATGGCACAAGCAGCGTCTACCTCGAAGAGCTCCAGAGGGCGTGGGAGGCAGATCCCAAGAGCGTGGATGAATCGTGGGACAACTTCTTTCAGAACTTCACAGGGAAAGCGGCCTCCAGCCCGGGGGTGTCCGGCCAGACGATCCAGGAGAGTATGCGCTTGCTGCTGCTGGTGAGAGCGTACCAGGTCAATGGTCACATGAAAGCCAAGCTCGATCCACTGGGACTGGACGAGCGGGTTCCTCCTGAAGATCTCAACCCTGCGCTCTATGGATTCACAGAGGCCGATCTGGATCGGGAGTTTTTCATCGGGGTGTGGAGGATGTCCGGGTTTCTGTCGGAGAATCGCCCAGTCCAGACTCTCCGCGCGATCTTAAAGCGACTCGAGCAAGCCTACTGTGGGACGATTGGGTATGAGTATATGCACATCTCGGATCGAGAGAAGTGTAACTGGTTGCGGGAGAAGATCGAGCAGCACGTTCCTAGCAAGTATTCTAAGGAAAGGCAGATCACCATCCTCGATCGTCTCATCTGGGGGACAAAGTTTGAGAACTTCCTGGCACAGAAGTGGACGGCCAAGAGGTTTGGACTGGAAGGTTGCGAGACACTTATCCCTGGTATGAAGGAGCAAATCGATCGAGCAGCGGACCTGGGAGTCGAGAGCGTTGTCATCGGTATGCCTCACCGTGGCAGGCTCAACGTACTGGGAAACGTTGTGAGGAAGCCTCTGCGGCAAATCTTTAGCGAGTTTGCTGGGGGGACCAAGCCTGCCGAGAGTGGCTACAGTGGAAGTGGTGATGTCAAGTACCATCTAGGAACGTCCTACGATAGACCGACCAGGACAGGGAAGCACATCCATCTCTCGCTTGTTGCGAATCCTAGCCACCTGGAAGCTGTGGATCCGGTTGTGGTTGGTAAGACGAGAGCCAAGCAGTACTACTCGGACGACTTCGAGAGGAAGAAGAACATGGCGATTCTGCTTCATGGAGATGGGAGCTTCTCTGGCCAAGGTGTGGTGTATGAGACGCTGCACTTGAGCGACCTTCCAAACTACACCACCGGGGGAACGATTCATATCGTCGTGAACAATCAGGTGGCTTTTACGACGGATCCTAGGAGCAGTCGCTCCTCGCCTTACTGCACGGACGTTGCCAAGGCTTTGAACGCTCCTATCTTTCACGTGAATGGAGATGACGTTGAGGCTGTCGTCCATGCCTGCGAGCTGGCCGCAGAATGGAGGTGCCAGTTCAAGGCGGATGTTGTGGTGGACATAGTTTGCTACCGTCGTTTTGGTCACAATGAGATTGACGAGCCATCGTTCACTCAACCGAAAATGTATCAGGTAAGCACAATCTTTGTCTCGATTTTCTAGTGCTTGATGGTTTTTTTTCTTTTTTTGTGCAGGTTATCAAAAATCACCCAACTTCATTGGAACTCTATGAGAAGAAACTCATCGAAAGTGGTCAGATCAGTGAGGAGACCGTGAAAAAAATCCATGACAAAGTGTATGGAATTTTAAGCGAAGAGTTCGAGAACAGCAAAGACTACGTTCCTAAGACACAGGACTGGCTTGCGGCATATTGGTCAGGTTTCAAGAGTCCGGAGCAGTTGTCACGGTTAAGAAACACCGGGTAAGGCTAAATCTTTTGCCTTTCGTCTTCGTTTCTTACATGTGTTGGTGTTCTGACTGCAGTGTTAAACCAGAGGTATTGAAAAATGTTGGCAAGAAAATCACCACTCTTCCTCCCTCGTTTACCCCGCATAGAGCGATCAAGAGGGTGTATGAGCAACGTGCGCAGATGATTGAAACGGGAGACGGAGTGGATTGGGCTACAGCTGAGGCATTGGCGTTCGCAACGCTTCTTGCAGAGGGGAACCACGTACGGTTGAGCGGCCAGGACGTCGAAAGAGGCACTTTTAGCCATAGACATGCCGTGGTACACGATCAAGAAACTGGTGAAAGATACTGCCCCCTTGACCACGTTGTGACCAATCAAAAGGAGGAGATGTTTACCGTGAGCAACAGGTATTTTCTCCAGCTATCTGTTGTTCTGGAGCTAACTAGTTTTTATGCAGCTCGCTCTCGGAATTCGGGGTGCTTGGGTTTGAGCTCGGATATTCAATGGAAAACCCGAATTCGTTGGTGTGCTGGGAAGCTCAGTTTGGAGACTTCGCCAATGGTGCGCAGGTGATATTTGATCAGTTTTTGAGCAGTGGAGAAGCCAAGTGGTTGCGTCAAACGGGACTGGTGTGCATGCTGCCACACGGTTATGATGGACAAGGGCCAGAGCACTCGAGTGCGATGCGTCAACGGGACTGGTGTGCATGCTGCCACACGGTTATTGTGGCCGAGGGCCAGAGCACTCGAGTGCGAGGCTAGCAAGGTTTTTGCAGGTTTGTGCCGTTGGTTTTTGCGTGACATTCTTTGACGCGATGCTCTTTTACCTTACAGATGAGCGATGATCATCCCTTCGTTATTCCCGAGATGGAAGTGTCTCTTCGGAAGCAGATCCAGGAGTGCAATTGTCAGGTTGTGAACGTGACGACGCCTGCAAACTACTTCCATGTTCTTCGCCGACAGGTAAGCCGAGACGTGGCTTTTCTGTTCTAATAAACTTTGTTTGATCGTGTCGGCAGCTCCATCGCGACTTCAGGAAGCCACTCATAATTATGTCCCCGAAGAATCTCCTTCGCCACTCGTCATGCCGCTCGAATCTGTCCGAGTTTGATGACGTTCAGGGGCATCCTGGTTTTGACAAGCAGGGCACACGATTCAAGCGCCTGGTCAAGGACAAGAACGATCACGGCACGGTGGAGCCAGAAATCCGTCGCCTGGTCCTCTGCTCTGGAAAGGTACATCTTTTCACTTTGGTTTGTGGCGGAAAACAAGATTTTTACTTCCATGTCTGTGTTCTTCAGGTATACTACGAGCTCGACGAGGAAAGGGAGCGCGTTGGAGCAAAGGACGTGGCCATCTGCCGCGTAGAGCAGCTGTGCCCGGTTCCTTACGATCTCCTCCAACGAGAACTCAAGCGCTATCCAAGTAAGAAAGCTTGTAGAGTGATCGATCGATCGATAGATTGATTGACGCATGGTTTTTTCTTGTAGACGCGGACGTTGTGTGGTGCCAGGAAGAACCCATGAACATGGGAGCCTTCTCCTACATTGCTCCGCGACTGGGAACGGCAATGCTGTCCGTCAATCGTGGAAGCTTTGGGGACATCAAGTACGTGGGAAGGCCTCCATCCGCGGCCACTGCGACTGGATTCGCTGCGGTGCACAAGATGGAGCAAACCGAGCTCGTCCAGAAGGCTCTCCAAGCGGAAAAAATGTAAAGCTAGCGATTGTTCTTCCAGCTCACAGAATAAAACCCGCGAGAGAGATGATAACTTATAATCAATCACACCAATAAAAGTATACACCATTTCTTTTGTTCTTCCAAAAGACCATGAAAGGAGAGATTCTTTGAGCCCTAGGAAGGAGGAGCTTGGAAGTTTGCGATGAGGACGATCACCCACGTCTTGTTCGACATGGACGGCCTTTTGCTCGGTAGCGTATGCTGGTTCTTCTCTGGATCAAAGCTCCTAGAGTTTTTCTTTGTTTGATATCTCGCGTAGCACAGACACGGAGAAGTTCTACTCGGTTGTGCAAGAGAAGATCCTGTCCGGCTATGGCAAGAGCTTCACCTGGTCGCTCAAAGCCAAGATGATGGGAAAGAGAGCTGCCGAGGCGGCGGAGATCTTCGTCCACGACTCTGGCCTCGAGGGCATTCTCTCGCCTCGCGACTTTCTCACGCAGCGCGAAGCAATGCTCGAGGTTATGTTCCCCGAGAGCCAGCTTCTACCTGGTAAACCTCGAGCTATCGTTCTTTCTCCAAGGATTTGTGTATGATCTTAAGCTTGCTAGGAGTGGAGAGACTTGTTGGCTACTTCCAATCTCAGGGGATTCCAATGGCCATAGCTACCAGGTTCTCTCCCAACTTGAGGGAGATCTAGCACGCCGTAACTTTGTGTGCAATGCAGCTCCCACAAGAGGAACTTTGATCTCAAGACGATCAACCACAAGGAGCTCATCTCTCGCATGCACCATGTCGTTGTCGGCGACGATCCGGACGTCAAGCTCGGCAAGCCGGCACCGGACATTTTCCTCGTGGCAGCTTCGCGGTTTCCGGTACGAAAGAAAGCTCTCGTTCTTCGATGGTCAGTGGGTGATTTTGACACAGGATCCCAAACCAAGGCCTGAGAACGTTTTGGTTTTCGAGGACGCTCCTACTGGTGTTGAGGCTGCTCAAAACGCTGGAATGTAAGCTCTAGATAGCTCTTCTCTCACATTTTCTTACATGAAGTTCTATGATAGCTCTTTGTTCTTCACGCAGGAGTGTTGTCATGGTGCCAGATCCAAACCTGGACAAGAGCCTCTGTGATCGAGCAGACATTGTACTGGAAACTCTGGAGGACTTTGATCCCTCTACGTTTGGGATGCCTCCTTTCATCAAAAACTAGTCCTATATCAACACAAAGATGAGAAAAAAAGAGAGATCATAGCAAAAAAGACCATAAAGTTCTGAGTTACATATCAAGAAAGATGAAGAGAGAGATCATATATTGATTGTAGCAAAACAAAAACGGTGATGCCTCGATCGTAACAAAAAGACAATAAAGTTCGAGTAAGAAATCACACACCAAGATGAGAAAGAAAAAAAGAGAGATCACATAGCAAAAAAACCATAAGGTTATAAGCTATATACACAGCAAACAACGCTTGGAACTTGCAAGATCTTTCGTTTTAGTACCACCAAACTCGGAGAGCTTTCGATCCTCGCAAACGCTGGAACTCACTCACTCTCTCACACGTAGTAAGTCATGCCCACCTCGATCAAGCAAATGTGGGGGATGCTCAGCGCCACCGTCGAGTTCCGGCAGTTCTTCCGCAAGAAGTTATACACCACGTCGATGGCGAACTTCTTCACGAACGACGACGCCTTCTTCGCCTTGACGTACGAGTGCCCCAGCACGTACGCCACCCCGGCCTCCTTGGCCTCGATCAGCTCCAGCAGCTCCGCCTTGACGGACGGATCCATCTCCACCGCCGCCTTTGGCAGCTCGAACCTCACCCTCTTCTTGTTGTCCAGGCGAGGGAGCTCCGCCTCCTCCAGCTCTTGCTCCTCCAGCAGCTCCTTGCCGCTCGGCCTGTCCATCCGGAAGCTCACGGACTGCTGCGGCGGCGGCTCCACGTCCTCCAGCCCCGACGTGACGAGCCTCATCGCTGCCCGCGACGGAGTTCCCACCACCGTCATCCTCCCATCCACGGACACCTCGGTGCTCGAGGGGATCCAGGGGTGCGCGTCCTCCATCTGGATGAACTCGCCGATGTTGACGATGAGCATGTTCTCGAAGTCCTGGTCGTCCTGGTGGAGATCCTTGTAGCCGTATCTGAGAATGCACCTGTACATCCGGTACTCCTTGGGCCCGATCCTGCCGATTAGATACCGCTCCTGCGGTGGGACGTGAGGCACTGGCACGGACTTGATGCAGACGAAGACGAGGACTTGGTGAAACGCCGGGAGGTTTGTGACGAAGTGTGAGAAGATGGCGGGGACGCCGGTCACCAGCTCTGTGTATATCAGGCCTATTCCAGGAACTCGGACGATGCCAAGGCTCGGGCCCAGCGTGAGCAGCCACTTCATGGAGACTTTGTTTTGCAAGTCGAACTCGTACTTCTTGGAGGTGCCGTAGTGCCATATGTACATGACCGCCATGAATATCACCGCGAGGACCAACGGGACCCAGCCGCCTTCCCTGACTTTGATCAGTGCCGCTGATATGTAAAATGCCTCGATGGAGCCAAAGAAAAGGAGAAACGCAGCTGCCAGGAAGATGCTCTTCCTCCATACCATGACGATCACCAGTGACATGAGAAAAGTGGTGACGAACATAACCGTGACAACGGCCAAACCTGAAAGGACAAAGATCAATCACGCATTGCAAGTGAACTGGAAACACACCATACCATATGCGTGGCCGATGAGGATTGTATTCCTGAATCCGAGTGTCACGGCAAGGCAGAGAAGCAGGAGCATCCAGTTGACTTCGGGAATGTAAATCTGACCGTAAATATCTTTGGATGTGTGGACAACTTTCACTCGTGGAAAGCAACCCAGAGATAGGCATTGCTTGATAATCGAGAAGGTTGCAGAAATGACTGCCTGGCTCCCAACAATGGACGCGAGCGTGGCGATGACGAAAACTGGCCAGTACACAGTCTCTGAAGAGATTGTCAAGGCATTAGACCACAAAGCACGTTTCAAAATTTTCTTACTCGGTATGGATTTGTAGAAACTCTTCAAAATGTCATCGTGATTCTTGGAGAGATACGCCGCTTGTCCCATGTAGGCAAGAACAAGACAAGGATAGACTACACACGTGAACGCAATCTACGAAAATCGTGTGCCGTCAGGAAAAAGCACAGCATTCATACACCTCCAAACAAAAGTACCTTGATAGAGAGCTTGGAAAAGTGTCCCAAATCAGCAAACATCGCTTCCGTTCCTGAAAAGAACAGGAAGAAAAAACACTCACTGGTGAGGCGGAGTGATGGTAAAGTGATGCGAAGCTTACCTGTGATACACAAGAGAATCCCCCCCAGAGAAGTCCAGCCTTCCACGCCCGTCTTTCGTAAAAAGTTGTACATGTAGTAAGGTGACAGAGCTCGAAAGATTCCGGGATTCCAGGCTGCGATGTTATATACACCGATTGCCGCAATACAGAACAGCCACGCTATCACGATGGGTGCGAAAATGAAGGCAACTCTATGCGTCCCAAAGTGCTGCAGCGCAAACAGCCCGATCAATATCAAGCACGCAATAATGTGGACCACGTCTGCAAAAGGACCCATGACAATCGTGAGTGGCAAGTTGTGCGAGAGGGAATTCTACAAAGGAGAATTTTCGACGTACGTTCATGGTGCTCGGTTTCCGTAGAGTTGATTCCGGAAACAGCGGAAAGAACTGGAAAACAAAAGGAAAAAACAGTCAGCGTACGGCTTTGACAACGTTTTACGAAGGCCGGACCTGATATAGGTGGTGTAAGAACTCCATCGCCAATGACCATACACGTCCCGAGGAGGACTATCGCAAGAAGACTAATCCGAAGATGTCTGTGCCTCTCGAGGAAAGCTTTGAATGGAACGCCTCCAGACTTTCTGTTGGTGCGCCCTCCTTCCAGCTTGTAGGTGGATAAATCCTCGTCCGCGGGCTGCTGGTTTGGTAAAAGGCTTAGCTTGGCATGGCGGCACAAGAGCGAATACAAGGCGAAAGTGCCACCTGATAACACAGACAAAGAACTTTAAAGTTAGACTAGCCACGAAGAAGGAACACTAAGAAAAAGAAAAAAAAACATGGAAAAGGGGAGCGAGAGAGCAAAGCTAACCTTCCCCATTGTCATCGGCATTCATGACTATGAGAACATACTTGATGAACGGTAACAGCGTGAGCGTGTAGATGATGAAGGAGAGAACGCCCAAAATCTCCTCATCGTTCTCGTTGAGCCGCAATTTCCCGGAGAAGGTACTCCGATAAACGTACAGCGGGGACACGCTAAGATCGCCATACACCACTCCAAAGCTCTGGTATGTCAGGCACAAGAGCGCTCTCAGCGAATTCCCCTTCACGGCTTGCTGCAAAGCAGAGATAGACAATGGAGAGATTTACTCCCACAAATCGATCGAGCAGCCACACGAACCTTGTAATTCGTTTGCAGCGTCGTCCCTCCCGCCGACGCCCCGGGAGCCGACGTCGCAGACTCCGGATCCAGACCGGCCGTCGACATCTCCCCCCTCGAATCGCTAGCGCCGCCCCCGCGCCGTACGCTGCCGCATTGCGCCGCGCCGCCGCATCTATGCCTCCCAAGATCGAGCTCCCGCCGCGAGGGATCGCGAATGACGAAACCCTTGACCTATAACCTTGGATGAGAAGAAGAAAGGCGCCACTAGAGAAGCACGCACAACACTCCCTCCACTCTCTAGCTAAAACTCACATAAACATCGTGAGGTACTTTAGGGTTTTGTGTTAATAAACAGTAAAGCGATTAAAGAACACGTGTAAAACAGGGTAGGTTAACAGCTGTAAGAAAACCTGTTTAACCCGGGGTAGAATATGCTCCCTCGGATGATCGTGGCCGTCCACGTTGGACCGCCCATAAGTTATTTTACCTGGGACCTACTTTGACCACCCAAATCTAATTGCTGTGACCCACTCGATCCAATCGAGATGCCCTCTTTTCCTTTTAGCTTTGTGGAGAATCATCGTGATCTGGAACAATTGTGCTAGTTCGTGCGTATAAGCGTGATAAATTTTGGGGTTTCTTACGTTACCTCAAAAGTTTTGGGGGTCGTGTATCCCTATTGGCAATCCAATCGTATCCGCGGAAGCGGATGAATGGATCCATTGATGCAGACTTATAGTTAGCCACCTTTCACACTGGCGGTGATCGCGCGTCTGGAGAATCGCCCAAGCGTAAACATCCGTCCTCGTCAGCACATCACAACATATGTCAAATTTCAGTTTGACCACGTGTTCACTACATCGAGAAAAAAATTTCAATCTTTACAACCTTGGAGTGTCCTGTCGAGAAAAAATTTGCAATTTTTACAACCTTGGAGTGTCCTGTCAATCCAATTGACGGACTTTGCCTCTGTTTACTTTTTCTCGTTACTTGCATGCTTTTGTAGTGCCTTTTAGACCATATTAGCGAAGTCAAGAATCGGTAGTTGCGTGATCCTTTTCCAAGACCATGGACTTGTATTTTAATAAGGTTCTATCAAATTAAAATGCAGCACGACTCATAAAAATTAAAATGCTACAGTAGAAATTAACCTATTAAATTTGAACCATAACAAGAGGTTGAGTGTTTCAATATCAAAACAAAGTCTGGATGAAACATTGTTAGACAAAAAACTCATCTCCTTTGCATCACTGTAATTATCTTGTAGTTAAAGTGTTTCTTACTAATGAAAGCTAATTACCGTGGGAGTATAATCGCCAGAATCAAAGAGATGAGGCTCCTGTTGAAGATTTTGAACTTCAGGAAAACCAACTTGAGGCTCGTGACTCATAGGATTCAAGTGATCTCCCATAAATAAAGCTTGATGTTGTTCGTCCCTGATTTAACAAAAATTAGGCCACCAAATGAGAATAAACAAAATTTATTACCTAAAAAGATTTAAATTCACGTCAGGGTGCAATTTATTGTAGTCAAGGATCTGAAGTAAAAAAGAGATAAACATAATTGCAAAATATTTTAAATTATGATACCTTGAGCAAGCTAGCCTTCTCCATAACAGTTTGTATGTGGAGCTCCATTTGATGTAGCTCTTCATAATTTAAAGAATCCAAGCTAGCACAATCACCTTGAAACAACCTTAAAACAAACATGATATAATCTTATCAATAAGAATTTCAAAGTTCAAACAAACCTTAAATGATTTTGAAGTATTTGGTTTTCTTGTTGCAATCTTGCTAGCTCCTTCTGTAAAACCTAAAATATATCTGAATAGATACATGAGACTAAATTTCTTACCTCAATGTCTTCAAACCCCATCCCTCTACTTAATCAACAACAGATTAAAACATTTTGAACGTGAATTGAGAAATTAAAATCATACCTCGCAATTTCATTGTCTCCCTTCTGCTTCCGTATCCCTCTGTTCAATTGCTGTTTTAAAAATGTTTAGACATCTAAAATACGAGCAAAATAAAAATTCCACCTCCAGATTTTCCTTCTTCCTGAAAAATAAAAATGCATGTTATCATAGATGTATTAAAAAGCAAAGTAGGCGTACCTTTTGATCCTTTCAGCAAGAGGTACATTCGCATAACGCATGATAATCTCCTGAATCCTGCAAATTTCGATCAAAATAAAGCACAAGAAAAGAAAGAGGGATACCATACTTCAAATCACTTGGATAGTGGATGAGATGATCCACAGGAGAGAACATTATCAAAGCAATGTCTATATCACACAAAGTGGCCAATTCCTGTGCTTTTTTCACCAATCCAATCTTTCTCTTTGCAAAAGTAGCATGCCTGCTAACACTATTCTCTATTCTCTTTATCTCTAATTTCACTCTCCCCATTATCCCCAAAACCCCAAAAGAAAGCTTTCGAAAGAGCATTAAAAGGCGCATTAACTTAACAAAATGCTTAAATTTAGATAATGGGGTTTACTACCTAAATTAAGCAATCTAGAACAAATGGCGCCTATGTTCTTGGTGTTACTCCTGGGAATCTCTGCGACATTGGTAAGCATTCTTCCTCCCTAATTGTCACTCTCTCACTCGCGATCGATCTCCTATCAGGCGCTAGAACAGCGCCAAAATCTCACATTTCCTCTTGCGATCTCGACCTGGTCGTTCGTGGAGGCTGTGCGATCCGCCCGGCGAGCGCTGGAATCCGGCCGCTCGGCTGTGGATGCCGTGGTGGAAGGCTGCTCCACCTGCGAGAGATTGCAGTGTGATGGATCTGGTAGGTCGAATTCTTCTTGTTCTTGGCCTGGATCTTCAATGCTGTGGATATATTTTAGTCGGCTATGGCGGCAGCCCGGATGAGAGCGGTGAGACGACGCTGGACGCGATGGTCATGGACGGGGTATGGTACGTCTCATCTCGATCCATTCCTGGGATTCTTTGGTTTTCACGGGAGATCTTGCAGACTACCATGAATGCTGGCGCTGTGGGATCGCTTCGTTTCGTCAGGGACGCCGCCATTGCTGCCAAGCTTGTTCTTCTCCACACCGAGCACACGCTCCTCGTTGGCGACCAGGCATCGAAGTTTGCGATCTCGATGGGACTCCAGGGACCAGTGAATCTCAGCACCGATGAATCGCTTGGCAAGACGCGATCGTGGCTGGGGAATTCATGCCAGCCCAACTTCTGGAAGGATGTGGTTCCGGATAGCAAGCTTTCGTGCGGGCCTTATCAGACTTCCCCGCCATCGCCACCTTTGGAGGCCAAGCTTGGGTGTGGTGGCGATTCCACAAGTTTGTCACGAGGAATAAGCTCTCACAACCATGACACGATCTCTATGGCAGCGATCGACAAGGCAAGTCACAAAAGTTCTTTCCTTTCTTTCTCTTGAGATTGATCGATTTATCAGGAAGGAAACATAGCAGTCGGGACTTCCACGAATGGAGCTACTCATAAAATCCCTGGAAGGTTGTGTTCGTCCGCTTTTCTCTCCTCCTCCAAACCTTTGAAAGTCTCGCTCTTGTCCATCCAGAGTTGGAGATGGACCGATCGTTGGAGCTGGAGCTTACGCTGATTCGGAAGTTGGAGCTTGCGGAGCCACTGGAGATGGAGACGTGATGATGCGCTTCCTCCCATGGTAACTCAACTCTCCTTCGATGGTTTGTCTAGATCGCTAGTGATTCTTCTCCGTTGAATCAGCTACCAGGTTGTAGAGAGCATGCGCCGGGGCATGACTCCTCAGCAAGCGGCAGACGATGCCATCGCTAGAATCCGGCGAAAGTACCCCGACTTTGTTGGAGCGCTCTTCGCGATTAACAGGCAGCTCGAGCACGCTAGTGCCTGCCATGGATGGACGTTCCGCTACTCCGTGTGGAGCAAAGGAATGGACGATGTGGAGGTGATAACAGTGCTACCGAGCGATTGATCAAGTTCATCCCTGTGTTTGGGTGCTGTAAATCACAAACTTTAATCCATTGAAACCACAAGCTTGCAAAAACCGAGTCACCAGATACCACTGAGGCTTTCTTGCAGCCCATCTTCTATACGTAGGCCGTAGGCACGCAAGCGTTACTCTGGAGGTGGTGGACTACTGAGAGATTATAAATTCTCCCAGAGGAAGAGCAAAACCAGTGTGTGCTGTTAGGCAAATAAATCTCTTACACATTGATAGTACCTCGTTATTTGCGACGAGCAAAGAATGAGAATGTCCAATGCCTGTGACAAGAAGAAAACCAAAACAGAGAGCTTGCTTAAACCCTGAGCTCAGATCACACACTACAGACCTTGGTGACAAGCGCATCACCAGCCAAAATCGATGCCTCCAAAACTTTTCTAGCGCCTGTGTTCCTCACTCTCTCGGAATGAACCCTGCAAAAATAAAAATCAACACTAAAAGGAAAGCTCGAGAAAAAACTTACTCTACCACTCCAACGCGTTTGAGCACACAGATCGTCGTCAGCGACACAAAGGTGTACATTAAAAGGCTGTTCATCACCGCCATGGTCTAGAGGCCACTACCGCGACCGCGACCGCGACAGCAAGCACAACCGCGGCAGGCTTTCCATTCACCGCGGCATCCTCTCTGCGACCTTTCAGCCATCGTCTCCCACAAAAGGGCCTAACCGCCACGTGTCTGCCACGTTATAGGCATTAGAACACCGAAAAGATAGAACTTGATCCCCCACACCTTCCCAAGAACTCCATTGTCTGAAAACTTGCGTTGAATCTACCCGCAAAACGAAAGAACGAAACAAGAAAAGAAAAGAAGGATATAGATTCCATCCGGTTTGAGAAAAAACACCTTGTTATCATTTTGCTTGCTCAATAGATGGAAAGATCTGGGGGTGCTCCGTAAACTGTTGACCACGACAAAGGTATCCTCCAGTTCTTGCATTCCTTGCCTGCGTAAATGTGTAAGTAGTTAGCATGGTTGATCCAAGAACGATAGGACATACCATTGCAAGAATGGAAGAATTTATCGCAAGCGCTCGCGAGGAAGGTAGCGTCTGGGATGTTATCTCCTTCGGCACAGTAGCACAGCACTGACAGAACTTTCAAGCCTCTTTTCTGTAGCGGAAAACCAAGGCAGGGAAGATTTTAGACTGGTTTTCACCACTTTGAATGAATAGAAGTACCTTGAAGGACGTGAACAGAGCAGTAACCGGCAGCCGCGAGAGGTAGTCTTGGTCATGCTCTCCGACTCTACCATCCATCGCATCTCTCAGCACAGAAAACTCGAAGGGCTCGGTGTGCTGACCGGATTGTTTCACGTCCAGCCAGCCTAGTCTCTCGCACAGCTCGTCTTTGCCATCTTCGCTGGCGCTGGTTTGATAGTAAACTTGAGGCCTGGAAAAGGAAGGAGAAACGCATTAGCAAGTAAAGCAAGAGGATCGGATCGTACCCAGCGTTGTGGAGAAGGTGTCTCTTTCCCGAGTCCAAGCCGGATAGCACGACGACGTTTTCAAATCCCTCACTCTTCGCCCAGTCGGCCAGATTCTCGGCAAACTTAAGCGTGGAGCCCTGAAGCATCTCATATAATCTCAAGTGATTCGTGAAAAAGTTCTAAGTCCTACCTTGACAAGAGGCGATCGCTGTTGCAAGACTGTGATATCACTAGCAGAATCCACGTACACTGCAAAAGCACAAGATAGCATGAGACGAGAAGAAGAAAAGAAGAGCAAGAAGGAAAAGAGGAGAAAGAGAGATTCCTCTACTTCTCTCTTCAAACTTACATTCCATTGCGACTGCTAATTCGCCCCGAGGCTCGGGACCAAATGGATCATTTCCCACGCACGGCAACACATGAGGATCATCCAAGAATCCGACCCTGGGCATTCCATACGTCGAAATCAAGAGATCCACGGCGAGCTGGCCCGCATTTCCAATCGAGAGCGCCGGCTGATCGCAAGAAATCAGACAATGAGCGAGGCAAAGGCCTGGATTGAAACTCACCAGTACGAGCGCCTTGCGTCGCAGCCGAGCCCTGTCGCCACAAAACTCCATATGGACGAAGAACCCTAAAGTTGCAGTTAACAAAAAATGGTTCAGGAGTTTTTAATCTCATCTTAGGTCAGATGGAGCGCGAGTGGCGACTCACGACTTAGTTACTCATCATCACCACTAGGCATCGAACCATGGACCTCTCGATCCACAACCCAACACCTTAACACTGAGTCACATGACTCAGCCTTGTGAAGATGCAACACGTCAATACTTTTATTGAGAACACTCGGGTTTTAGTGTTTAAGGTTTTAAAATTAGGGCTTTTCAAAACCAAAATTTCTCGCACATGTTTAAAAGTTTAAAGAAGAAAGAGGGGGGCATTTTAGGAAATCGTTGTCCTCCTCCTCGGCAATGTGCTTGGCGAGCTCCTGATCCTGCTGCTGCTGCTCACGCGACTGCATGAAGCTGTGTGTGTGGTCGATCACTGCATCGATGCGTTGAATCTACCTGCAAAACTAAAGAACGAAAAAAGAAAAGAAAAGAAGGATACAGATTCCATCCGGTTTGAGAAAAAACACCTTGTTATCATTTTTCTTGCTCAATAGATGGAAAGATCTGGGTAAACTGTTGACCACGACAAAGGTATCCTCCAGTTCTTGCATTCCTTGCCTATGTAAATGTGTAAGTAGTTAGCATGGTTGATCCAAGAGCAATAGGATATGCCATTGGAAGAATGGAAGAATTTATTGCAAGCGCTTGTTGTGATGAGTGTTATCTGTCTTTCTTCCATGGCTGTAACACACAACTCAACACGTTAACACTGAGCCACATGAGATGAGTGTTATCTATCTTTCTTCCATGGCTATAACACACAACCCAACACTTTAACATTGAGCCACATGACTTAGCCTTGTGAAGATGCAACAGGTCAATAGATTTAAAGAGAATAAAATAGCACATTTTATCTTTCTCCTTTTAATCCAATTGGAAAAGGAGTAATTGTTTTAATTGAGAGAGCTTTTAATGGTTATTTTATTCCAATTTATCTCATAAAGTTTCAAGGATTTGTAATGACAATATATCTAAATTTCATCTCATGATCACATTCACTATAATGGCCTATAAGAAGCTATTGCTACTGTGGCCAGATTTCCTATGAAGCTAGAGATGTTGCAAGCATAGAAGTCTAGCATGGGGAAGAATGTGTTCTCTTTAGTGGCCATTTTCATTATAAAAGTTTTGAATAATAGTGGATTTCATTGTGGAAAGTCTTGTCAATATGAATTTCATGATAAAAGCCATAATATTTAACTCATTGTAATCCATTATATTACTACAATATATGTCAATACATTTATGATTAGAAGTTCAGAACTAACCAAACCTACCACTACCCCTGAGGCTAAATTTTTTTTGCATTCCCTGAGTTGCAAGCCAAGTGGGAATGGTTTCCAAGCTAAGTGGGAGTGATTTTGGAGTGAATAAATGTTCACTCCACTCTAATTCATTGCATATCCACTACAAGAACAATCTTTTTTACACTTCACTTTAATATATACTTTGACAACCACTGTAAACACCATTGCAACACACATGCATTCTGTACTTCAGCTTCATAAGCATGGGATGGCATCAATTATGCACTCTACTGCAAAACACTTCATGCCATGTATTTCTATGCCACATCAGCCATTAACATGACTTTTGTTTTTGATAGATTGAGATGGTGTTAGTGCCATGTTGTTTTTGATGGAGATTGCCAAGTTATGTGGGTGAGCAAGATAAGAGGCGAGGCAAGGAAAAAGAGGCCATTCTTCTCGCATTTTCCAGTTAAGACGAAGATGGTTCCAATCCACCTGACAAAATTCCCAAAGAATTTCATGAGTCAAAATCATCGTCTTTCTTTGATCCAGTCGTACACCTCCATTGCTGCTCGTGCTTGACACTCGGATCCATCTCCTCAAACTCATGGGAGACTATGCACCGCCCGACTCCACCCCTGCTACCAACGACGAGCACACCTTTACCAGCAAGCTTCCTCCTGCAACAGTCCTGGAGCTTACGATCCCTCAGTACGTTTTTCAAGGACTAGAGAGTTACCTGGACAGGGTAGCGATCGTGGACACAGACAGGATCCCACCCAAACAAAGCTGCCATGGCCGTGGCAATCCAGCCTTGGCAAGCAATCGCCACGGATTTCCCAGGCCATAGCAGCCATGGCCATGTTGCCATGGCAAAGGCCATGGATTGCCACAGCCATGCCACAGCTAAGGCCGTGGATTGCCACGGGCACAGCATTTTCAACACTGCTGCCTGGAACGATCCATCCAGAATCTAAATTGTGCAAAGAGAGATCGCGAGGGAGATGTGTGATGCCAGAAATGGAGCTGGAATCCCTTCTCTTCGATCATGCAATAGACATGGTAGTGTTCCTGAGGCACCACATATGACGGGGTTTGGCAAAAAGGGGTACTTGTGACGCACGCGAGAGATGCAGCTTGGTGAGGGTGAGCAGCATCACCAAGGCCCGGCTGCTCAAGCTCAATCTGTTTGGAGTACTGCACGAGCTCTAGAAGGCCAGCGGTTTGCCTTTCGGCGCATGGAGGAAAGACGCCTAGGGAACGTTGTTTGCTACAAACAGCATGGATAAAGGGACTAGAGAGAAGATAACTTTCATTGCATTCCATGTAGGTAGGTTCCCATGCTTCTTAGTTGGGCTATATATATATATATATATGGTGGTAATGTTTCTGGTTGATAAACTGGATCTTGATCTCCTTGTTGATGTTTCCCAAGGCCCATGCGGTCAAATCACATGCGATTAGCATCACAAACTCCAGAATTTAATGGGTAAAAGGGTAATTATTATTGTCATTAATAATGCTGAAGCCATTCACCAATGTACAACTGGATAATGCACGTTAAGGACAGCAAATGCAAAATTGGCTTACTTGACGAGGTCTCACAATCTTGTTGTCACGCAAGTCAAGGCATTCTTTCCAGTGTGCTAGGTAGCCAACAACACGAGCCAATGCAAACAGGAGTGGAAAGTTTCCTTGAAATCCAAGAGCTCTGGAATATGAAATTAATGCAGTTGAAAACATTTTCAAAACTTACTTGAAAACAATCCAAGAGTAAAAGTCGATATTGGGATAAAGTTTCCGCTTGATGAAGTACTCATCTGAGAGAGCGGCTTCTGCTAATGCGTCTGACACCTTTAAAGTTGAAATATAAGAGTCAGGCTTTTTCTGGTACTTTTTCTTTTCTAATATACTTACCTTGATGAGCGGGTCATGCCCTACAATCTCAAATGCATCTTCTGCCAGCTGCCGAATTACCTGAATAAAAGAAAGATAAGAAACTTTCAAATGTAAAAGTGAGCAAAATTCAACCTTGACACGTATTTCATATGCCCTATGGATTCGATGGCCAAATCCAAACAACTTCTTCTTCTTGTTTTTTACAGCCTCTAGATAGGCTGGGATATTGTCGACGGTTCCAATCTCCTGAATCATGTTTGCACATGCCTACAACATAGTAAAAGTACCACATTCTTGCAATCAGGAAATTCCTTGCAAATTTTACCTCATTTGCACCTCCGTGAAACGGGCCTCCTAGTGTTGCAACTCCTGCTGCTAAACAAGTGTATAGATCCACGCCACTGTTATTGAAAGAGGTAAAGTAACAGTTAAAGCTGTAGTCTTAAAACACTTGCCATGACACAAGGTGTCGTACAGCAGCAGATGAACAGCTAAGCTCATGTTCCATATGCACAATGAGCAGCCTCTCAAGAATGCGAGCCAATAGCGGAGAAGACCTGGGAAAAAGAGAGACCAATTTTCTTACAGCTTGAGTATATAAAAACTAGTGGAGGGTGACCTTGTTGGGCTGGTATTATGGAACATATGCATGTAACGAAAGTTGGCAACGTATGGAAGCTCAGAAGATGGATTTGGCAGAACCATACCCTCTGCATGCTGGAATATATGTGCGATATAAATAGGTATCTGATAAACAGAAAGATATAATTCGGTAGCATGGAATAGCTAGAATTTCACCTGACCAAGTACGCGTGCAATGAGCTGGTCTTGGACATGTTTGTCCTGGTATGCACCCTAATTTCTAAACCATGTTAGAAAGCTGATGAGAAAGATGAATTACAATATTACCACATCAGGCTGTGGGTAAAACGAAGACATGGAGCTAATAGCAGTTGCCAGCAACCCCATTGCGTGTGCATTCTTTGGCTGACTCTTTATCAGGCCCTGATAAAACGAAATATAAAAAAAAGTATGATGGATCTCTTAAAATGTATGCTCACCATAGCTCCTTTGTGACAGCAAGTTTCCTTCCTGACGCTATCCTCAAATCTCGAAAGCTTGGCCTTGGATGCCAAATCTCCATAGACTGATGCACGGAGTGACTTCTATACGTTATTTAGGCTGAAAAACTACTTACTTAGAAGGTAAGCAACTTGTAAGAATGTGCAATGTTGTGCAAGTTCCTCCACTGGGTAGCCCCTAAATTTGAGCGTCCCGTCATTCCCATTGGCGAGCGAGATTGCAAACTTGGTGACTGCAGTGTTGAAATATCCGGGGTCAAATAGCAGCAGATCACCATCTTGTGCTGCGGCCTGCATTCAAAACAAAATGACATGTCTAAAGACAAACATGCATTGCTACCTTGTTGATCATTTCTTTGGCCAAAACAATTCCACCCTGTTTGATCTCAAGCTCAAATTCAAGCCCTGTCCTGGTATCTGCAATTGTGAGTAAACCAGGGCCGCCACCCAAAGCTTGATGCTCATCCATAATGGTTTTGATATTCAGCTCTCTGAAGTTCTCTGCTCTATATATGCATACTCTAAACCAGGCGTGACATCGGGACATTGGGACATCAGGACATCGAGACATTGGTGCATCCCAACATTGATCACATGCTCATTGGCGTTTTTTATAAAGCTGGCATCTGATAAAGCCTGCAAAAAGAACAATTCCGCAATGTCAAGCTCAAACTCCCTGGTATCCTCAACTGTGAGTATATCAAGACATTGGCGTTTTTTATAAAAGCTGGCATCTGATAAAGCCTGCAAAAAGAACAATTCCGCCCTGCTTAATGTAACCCTTATCCTCAACTGTCAGTATATCAAGACATTGGCATTTTTTTTATAAAAGCTGGCATCTGATAAAGCCTGCAAAAAGAACAATTCTGCCTTGCTTAATGTCAAGCTCAAACTCCCTGGTATCCTCAACTGTGAGTATATCAAGACTATACTGGGCACCACAAGACTATAAACAGCATATAAATAGATAGATAGCTATCAAGACATTGGCGATAACTTTAGAGACCTGCGTTGGACTGCCCGGAGCTTGGAAACACACTCATGTGGCCCCACATGAATAATGTTAAAAGAGAGATGCCATAAATCCATTGCATTCATGTAGATAGGTGGTGAGTTGCGATCGTGGGCGCAGCGGCGGCAAGCTCAAGCGTGGGTAGTGGGGGCCAGTGGGCTCATGGCTCGGCAGCCATGGCAGCAAGCTGTGAGTGGACAGCACCAAGCAGTGGGCATGGGTAGCAGTGAGCTGCGAGCTGGAGCATGAGCGGCATGAGGGCGGTGGTGAGCAGCATGGCTAGTGGCTTGCTCATGGCTCGTGAGTAGGAGGCTGCGAGTTGTGAGCTGTGAGTGGGGTGCAAGCCTGAGCAGGGTGAGGCAAGTGTGTGTATGGGTGGGTTTGTGGTCTAGGTGGTGTGAAGAGGTGGCGCTGAGCTTGAGGAGGCAGTGGCAAGCTGCTGCAACGATGAGCTGCTAGTGAAGGTGTGGGCGTGGGGCTCAATTGTTGGTGATTTAAGTTCATGTATATGTCTTATGCACAGCATATGATGTGCATGGCATCGGCATTATATGTGCATGTCATCGGCATTATATGGGCATGTGTATTTTCCCGCTTCAGTTTGAAATTTGAGGGCATTATGTTTTCTTGAACTAACTAAATGTCTAACTAAATATCCAACTAAATGTTTAATGTTTTAGAGATTTAACAAGCACATTTTTTGGTTTGCTTAAGCAAACTTGTAGATAATAATGGATATACTAAGAATATGCTTGGATATTCTACTATCTAATGGTTATTATTCATTTAGATTAATCTTGTATTTATAATTTGTATAAATGTTTATAATTTATAAACTTTTCTAAACACCTTATAGTATATTCCCATCTAATGGTAATCTTGTTGTTATAAATATGTTTATAATTAAAAAAAAATCTTAAATAGGGTGTATTTTAAGTAAACATTCTTATTAAAACATTTACTTTAATAAGTGTTATGTAATATTTAAAATAAACAAACAAACCAAATGTTGCTGACCATTTGGAAATTTCCTCACCAATTTGCTCCGGGCTTACGCACGCTGCTGCGACATTTCCCATGAAGGAAAAGAGTGCGCTAAAGATTCGGAAATCTGGAAATGTAATGCATAGCAATTTATTTAGTAGATCTAGACATAACTTTATAAGCTCAAAATAAAAACTCAAAGCATAAAAGGGATTGTAGAAAATTTATAAACTTTAACAATCTATGGCCAATGAATGATTGTGAAAAAGGGTAATTAGATGAAAAACCTTCTGTTTGTGAGATAACCAAACTTAATGTTCCACTCGCAAATACATTTAGTTTAGATCTGAACTGTCTCGAAGATCGGGTGGGGGGAGGGGGAGGCGGGAATATCGTGCTTGCCTACCTACGTCCTCTGGCTGGAAGCCTGCAAAAAGCCTGCAAAAAGAGCTGTTTGACGTCAACCTTGACTGTTTGATGTCTTCTGTAAAAGCTTGCATCTGATAAAGCCTGCAAAAAGTAAAAGATTGAATGAAAAGAACTACTATATAGCACATGTACATTATTACATAAATATGCAATTTTTTATTCTCTAAGAGTTTTTATTATTCACGTTGGTTGTTTGTGTCTAGCTTGAAGAAACCATGGCAGCTCCCAGTCAATCCAGGAAATTGCGCATCATCGATCACAGGACTGGGCTCACATACGAGATGGATGTATGTGAGCGAGGCTGTCTCAAGAGTTCTGACTTCTCCAAGGCATGCTTCGTTTTTTCGTTGGTGCAATTAAAAGACAACTTCATGTTCTTGTTCCTCTTCTCGCAGATCAAGGCTGGCGGAGATGGCAAGGGATTGAAGCTGTATGATCCGGGATTTGTGCATACAGCTCCCGTGAAGTCCACCATTGCATTCATTGATGGGAGGAATGGGATTTTGAGATACAGAGGATACCCCGTGGAAGAGCTTGCGGAGAGAAGCACATACTTGGAGGTGGCATATTTACTGTGTAAGTATACATCTTTTCAAGAAAACGGATAAATCTTTTGTGGAACAGGTAAGGGGAATCTCCCCACGAAGTCCCAGCTTTCTGAATGGGAAGCTGCAATCCAAAGGCAGTCCTCAATGCCAGAAGAGCTTCTGGCAAGCCACTACAGCTATGAGAGAGTGTTGTTGTGACACAATTTTGTTTTGCAGGCCCTTATTGGCGCTCTTCCTCGAGATTCTCATCCAAAGCAAAACTTTGCCACGGCCTTGTATGCCCTCATTTCATTCAATCCAGATGCAAATCCTCTAGTAGCGGTGAAGCTTTAATTTTTTCCTAGTATACAATCTTTGTCTTTGTACAAATGCAGGGACATGATCTGTACAAAACAGAAGCTGCACAAAACCTGCACATTATTCGTATAATGGGAAAGGTGATGTCTCATTCATCAATAATACATGTTTTTGGGGTCCATTGGCACCCAGCTGGAGGCATTAGACCATTGGTTTGTTAAAATGTGCCTTTTCAGGCTGCTAGCTTGGCAGGCGCAATCTACGTTCATATGGAGGGTCAAAAGCCCATTCAAAATCCGAACAACAGTCTCAATTTTTCTGAAATGATTCTTTATATGTTCCAGTCAATGTGAGCATTAAGCAAAATTTCTTGCTTTGACTTCAACTGCTTTCTGCCTTCAGGGGAGATCAGGACTTCAAGCCAAATCCCGCACTTGCAAAAGCTTTGGATGTGATTTTTGTAATATTGGCTGAGCATGAACTTGGTACAGCAACGGCAGCAACTTTACACCTTGCATCAAGGTGCTTTTCTTTTGGTGTAATTTTACTGTCTGCTTTCTACTAATTTTTCAGCAGTGGAGTGGATGTTTATACAGCAATTGCTGGAGGCACTAGTGCATTATCAGGGCCCAATGATATAGGGGCTGTTGAGGTAAACGACTATCAAACACTAGGATTTTCTGAATAAACGTTATGATTTTGTTAAGGCTGTTTTGGACATGCTCAATGAAATTGGAAGCATTGAGAATGTTGCATTCTACATAGAAGAAGCCAAGAAAAGGTATGAAGAAAATTAATAAATTATATTATACTAAATTATTTTTACTAACAGTAACACCAAACTACCTGGAATTGGCCACCGTGTATACAAGACATATGATCCTCGAGCGAAGGCAAGTGTAACAATGGCCTTTCAAAGTTACTTGACAATGTTTTAATTTTGCAGCTCATTCAAAAGCTAGCAGAAGAGGTTTATGACGTGGTTGGCAAGGATCCCCTGGTAGAGGTGTAATTTACATTAATGGACTTCTGTTCCAGAGCCTTATGTTTTGAGTGATCAGGTTGCAGCTGCATTGGAGAATGCCATTATTGCCGATGAGTATTTTATAAACAGAAAACTGTATCCTAATGCCACCTTTCACTTGGGCCTCTTGCTTAGGCAAGTAGTTTTGCATATTCACTGACATGGTTTCAAGACATGCTTTGATGTACAGGGCTCTTGGCTTTCCTAAACAATTTTTTGTGGTTCTTGTCTCTATTGCCCGAATTGCTGGTCAGTTGGCACACTGGAAAGAGTCTATGAATGACCCGTCAACTAGGCTGATGAGGCCACAACAGGTGAGTAAAAATCTCTATTCTTTTATAACATTCATTCATTCATATTCTGTTTTTACATGGTCACTGCTTTTTCTCTTGTAGTGGTACACTGGGCAAAGGCTTCGCCATTATTCAAAGTAATTATTTGTTTAAAAAATTTGGAACATGTGCTTGACATGTCTTGGAATTTACCCCGGTGGTGAAAGAAGAAGAAGAGTTTAAAGTCTCAGCAGCGCCCAGTGGGGCATGGGACTTGTTGCATGGCAACGACGACAAAGGCGTGCCTTTCGGACTCCTACTTCGCTGGAAGTGACGGGCTGTTATCCTTGTTGTGTTGGCGTGTCGGTCAGGAAAGCAAAGAAATTTCCCGGTGAGTGAATAAATAAACAGACAAGATAAGGGTTTCTTAATAGAATTCCATGGCTATGGAGGAGCTTGCTTCTTACAAGGGACATATAGTAGCCTTCCCTTTGCCACTCCAAGGCCATATCAATCCCATGCTCATTCTCTGCAAGGCCCTAGTCTCACTGGGCTTCTCCGTGACATTCGTCAATGCAGAGAGCAACCACAAGCGCCTCCTTGCTCACATTTCTGCCGCTCCAAGCACAGGAATCGACTTTGTTCCCATTCCCGACCACCTTGACACGCCCATCGCCACTGTCGACGTCCACAACAGCAACAATCTGCTACTCGTCCGCAACACAGTCCGCAAGATGCGTGCTGACTTTGAAAGCGTGCTTAAGAACATTGTCAGCAATGTCAAGGTGAAGTTCATTCTCTCGGAAATGTCTGTAGGTTGGACACAGGAAACTGCGGATAAGTTCGGCATCCCCAAGGTGACACTTTTCACTGAGAGTGCAGCTTCACTTTCGATCCAATATCACATTCCAGAGCTCCTTGCCAAGAAACACGCTCCTGTCCGACAAGGCTGTCCAGGTATGATTTCAGCATCGTTGTTGCATCGGTGTTCGACCCTGAAACTTCTGTTTTATAAATTTTAGATCTGCAGAGTATCGACTACTTGCCTGGATTCCCATTGATGACTACGGCTGACATTCCTTACTCGCTTAGTGCTCACGCCGAGAAGTTGGATCCGGGATTTGCACAAAGGGTCGAAAGGAAAAAAGTTTTGTTGAAGGCAAAGTGCGTTCTGGTCAACTCCTTTGACGCTCTCGAGCACGGAGTCTTCGCCGGTCTCCGAGCAAAATTCCATCAGACCGTGGTTCCAGTTGGTCCACTGCTGCCTCCCGCTTTCCTGGGAACCGAAAACGGGTCAAATAAGCCTACCACCTTGCCAGGTATGTGGCCTGCGGATGACACTTGCAAGCAGTGGCTGGACCGTCAGCAAGATGGCACAGTTTTATACGTTTCTTTTGGGAGCAACGCAACTCTCACAATGGATGACTTTGTTCGACTTGCAAGAGGGCTGGGGCTGTGCAAGCAGCTGTTTCTATGGGTTGTTCGGCCAACTTTAGTCCCGGGTTCATCCTTGGACGAGCTTTTGAAAGTGGTGAGGAGAAATTCCATATACGAAGGACAGTCGTGCACTGTTTCTTGGGCACCACAGCTGCAAGTCCTGTTACATCCAGCTGTTGGCTGGTTTGTCACGCACTGTGGATGGAATTCGACGCTGGAGAGCATCTGTGCGGGTGTCCCCATGTTGTGTTGGCCTCTGACGGCAGAGCAGAATCTGAATTGCAAGTTCATTGCTGACGAGTGGAAGATTGGTGTCAGATTGCTGGACGACAGTCGCTGCATTGAAGAGGTGATAACGGGGGTTGTGGAAAGCCAAGGAGACAGCCAGATGAAAACCAAAGTTAAAAAGTTGAAAGAAGCGGCCATCAAGGAATCCAAACTGATCACGAAGACCATTGATGATGCTCTCAGCTCTAAATCACGTTCTTAATAAGAACTTGGGCAGTTGATATCAAAGTGTTATGTAAACAGAAATTCAAAATCCATATTTGTGCGCTCACTGAAAAAGCCAAAGATGCCAGCTCTTGAAAGGGGAGCTTATTATCAAACAAAATGTCAGGAGCAAAAAATTGAATTGCAAGATAGATTAAGTGAATCTAATGAAGTTCAATTGATGTTTAATCAAACTGGTGGAACATGTACCAGCAGTAAGTCATTTGAAGGCTCTCTGTCATAAGCCTTCTCACAAAAATGTTGCCTTTGCTGGCTTTGTGAGTGTGCGCAGCACACTGGAGGAGCTGAGGATCACAATGTGCTTATGGATATATATTTTTTCTATATATAGTTTATACATTTGTGTTCCAAGATGATTTTTTAAAATATAGTTATAAAACTGTGAACTGAATATAGTTTTCAATATGCATAAAATATGGTTCTGTGAAGAATGTTTGCAGTATAAGGGTTTTGGAAACTAATATGAACCTCAGATTAATCTAGGGATTTAATTTGGGTATTAATCCCAAATATGGGTTTGGAATTCAAATTTCATTGTGAACCATAATGCTAAATATACTCTAATAAATATAAAGAATATAAAAAATACATAATATCATCACAATGAGCACCAAGCAATAACTATAGAAGTGTTAGACCAAGCTTGAGGGGATAATATCAATATAAATTCACAATTAACTCAAATGTATGAGTAAGATGAGAAAATATGATTACTAGGAAGCATGTTATAATAAGCTTAACTTAGTTACTTTAGACTTTCCATTATTATAATTTACTATAGAAAATGCTTTTAATTCTTAGCCATTATAAAAGTAATTTTTACATTGGATTCAAGTCTCTACATGACCAAGAGTGACATTTACACTGAAAGCCACAATGTTTAACTTATGTTTGACTTGTTGTGGTACATGCAATAAGTTAGTTAATATTCAGGTCATTTTGCTATGTTTTTATTGCATTTCCAAAGTCACTTATTAATTGATCTTCTTCCATCTATAAGTTTTCAACATGAGTTTATGAATTCTTAAGTCAGTCGATTAAATAATAAAACTTGCAATATCAATACTTTAAATCAAGGATAATAACAACCTCATATCTCTTTCCCCTATGCCAATTGAAAATGCTTAAAAGCCCTTTGATGAAATAGCTTTTAATGGCTATTTTTTCTCTATTTATCCCATAAGGTTCTAAAGATTCAAATCTTAATTTATTATTACATACACTACATTTACCCCTTGTTCAAGACGTCAATGTCCTTCATAAAACACCTCTATTTTCATCTATTCATTTATACTGTAGTTTTATGGTGGATCAATGTCTTCATTGATGAACCCCTATTAAGCTAAAGAGAATTAACACTTCCATTTCTACATTAAATCTATTAATTTTTCTACTATATAATTAGTCCCATAATTCTCCCTTTAAACCAATTGAAAAATGCCCCTTAAGCCAACTAAAAAAGGCTTAAAGGCCCTTTGATGAAAAATCCCCTAAAGTTCTAAAAATCCACAGTATTTAAATTTCAATCGATAATTATATAGATCACTCACCCCTTTTTCAAGATGTTAATGGAACACTTTTATTTCTATCCATCCATCTGTATTAAATTCTTCTCCTACAATATATCTTTCAATAAACAAAACCATACTGTAGTCTCATAATGGATTAATGAAACCTTTATTGAGCCAAAAGGGAACAAACACCTTTATTTACACATTAAATGGAACCCTTACTAAGACAATTGCAATCCTATAAAATCCTTACTAAACCAAGGGGAATAAATACTTCCATTTCCGTATAAAATTTACTAATCCTTCCATTATATAAACTAGTCCATACTATGCTAATGCACTAGTAAGGGTTCCATTGATCTATAATGGGATTACAATACAACTTTGTTTATTAGACATCCATTATCAAAAAATCTACTATAAGACTAATTTACATAGTGGAAGGATTAGCATATTTAATGTGAAAATTAAGGTGTTAGTTTTCCTTGGCTTAATAAGGGTTCACTATAGGACTATGGTATGACTTTGTTTGTTAAATATTTGCTATCATAAAATCTATTATAGGACTAGTTTACATATTGCAATTCTATTGTAGATTAATAGAATCTTTATTATGCCAAAAGGAATTAACACCTCCATTTCCATATTAAATCTACTAATCTTTTCACTATATAAATTAATCCCATAGTTAAATATTTTAATAATGAATATTTAACAAACAAAGCCATACTATAGTCTTATGGTGGATCAATAAAACCCTTATTGAGCCAAGAGGAACCAACACTTCCATTTTTTTCATTAAATCTACTAGTCCTTACACTATGCAAACTAGTCTTATGGTAAATCGTACTATAGTCCCACAGTGGATTAATGACCTTTACATTAAATCTATTAATCCTTCCACTATGTAAACTAGTAATCTTCCACTATGTAAATTAGTCTTTAATGACCCTCTACATTAAATCTATTAATCTTTCCATTATGTAAACTAATCTTTACTAAGCCAAGGGGAACCAACACTTTTATTTCTACATTAAGTCTACTAGTCCTTCCACTATATAAACTAATTCTATAGTGGATCTTTCGATAATGGATATTTAACAAACAAAAATATACAATATATTATTTTTATAATTATGGGGTAAAAATATACCTTATTCAAAGGTATATTATATTTTTTGATAACTACTAATCAATGGGAATCAAACCCATGCCATAATACCTCTTGTATCTTTCTCCCTTTAAGTCAACTAAAAAAAAAGGCAATTGCTTAATAAGAGAGTCTTTAATAATTATTTTATCACAATGTTTCAAAAATCCATGGTAATAGTGTATCCATGATCATATACACTACACTTATTAAGTAGCTTATAATAGCTAAATCAGTAGCGTCTGGGATGTTATCTCCTTTGGCACAGTAGCACAGCACTGACAGAACTTTCAAGCCTCTTTTCTGTAGCGGAAAACCAAGGCAGGGAAGATTTTAGACTGGTTTTCACCACTTTGAATGAATAGACGTACCTTGAAGGACGTGAACAGAGCAGTAACCGGCAGTCGCGAGAGGTAGTCTTGGTCATGCTCTCCGACTCTACCATCCATCGCATATCTCAGCACAGAAAACTCGAAGGGCTCGGTGTGCTGACCGGATTGTTTCACGTCCAGCCAGCCTAGTCTCTCGCACAGCTCGTCTTTGCCATCTTCATTGGCACTGGACTGATAGTACACTTGAGGCCTGGAAAAGGAAGGAGAAACGCATTAGCAAGTGAAGTAATACCATCGGATCGTACCCAGCGTTGTGGAGGTGGTGTCTCTTTCCCGAGTCCAAGCCGGATAGCACGACGACGTTTTCAAATCCCTCACTCTTCGCCCAGTCGGCCAGATTCTCGGCAAACTTAAGCGAGGAGCCCTGAAGCATCTCATATAATCTCAAGTGATTCGTGAAAAAGTTCTAAGTCCTACCTTGACAAGAGGCGATCGCTGTTGCAAGACTGATGTCACTAGCAGAATCCACGTACACTGCAAAAGCACAAGATAGCGTGAGACGAGAAGAAGAAAAGAAGAGCAAGAAGGAAAAGAGGAGAAAGAGAGATTCCTCTACTTCTCTCTTGAAACTTACATTCCATTGCGACTGCTAATTCGCCCCGAGGCTCGGGACCAAATGCCAAGAATCCGACCCTGGGCATTCCATACGTCGAGATCCACGGCGAGCTGGCCCGCATTTCCAATCCAAAGGCCTGGATTGAAACTCACCAGTACGAGCGCCTTGCGTCGCCACAAAACTCCATATGGACGAAGAACCCTAGGTTAACAATAAGTGGTTCAGGAGTTTTTAAAATCATCTTAGGTCAGTTGATGGCGACTCACACGACTTAAGTTACTCATCATCATCACCACTAGGCATCGAACGATGGACCTCTCAGTCCACAACCCAACACCTTAGCACTGAGCCAACTGGCCCAGTCCTGTGAGAATGTAACACGTCAATAGTTTTACGGAAAACACTCGGGTTTTAGGCTTTAAGGCTTTAAATTAGGGCTTTTCACTTCTCGCGCGTTTTTTATGTTTAAAAGTTTAAAGAAGAAAGAGGGGGGAATTTTAGAAATCGTCGTCCTCCTCCTCGGCGATGTGCTTGGCGAGCTCCTGCTCCTGCTGCTGCCGCTCGCGCCGCTTCTCGGCGCTCTCCAGCTCCTTCTTGTGCGCGTTGGGCGGGAAGCGCAGCGCCTTGACGGCATCGTTGTAGGTGTTGAGGCAGAAGGCGATGCGCGAGTGGAAGGCGAGCTGCGGCTCCTGCGTCGAGTAGATGTCGCCCGTCTCGCGCGACTGCATGAAGCCGCGGGCGTGGTCGATCACCGCGTCGATGCCGCCGTCGCGGATGGCCTTGGCCACCATGCTCTCGGCGTCGCTCACGGCGCTGTCGGACGAGAGGTGGAGCTTGGCGGCCACGTCCGCCAGCGAGATGCGGGAGTAGGAGATGCTGATGTTGCGCAGGCCCGTCCGGATCACGTTGTGGCGCAGCCGGACGATGAGGTTGTGCGTCTTGTCTCGCGAAAAGATTGGCGAGAAGTTGTCCGCCACGGATTTAAACAACTCCAGGTCTCCAATGCGAACAGCCTGCCAAACACAAGCACTCTAATCAGTCGAAGAACAATGCAAAGAAGAAACTTTGCACAACCAATCTGCCAAGAAGAACACAATCCAAGTTTTTACGTACGTTTGTTAGCTCGAAGTAAGGGCGGAGCGCGGCCTTCATACCCCGTTGCATGAACGTTGTCCTCTCCGGAATCTCGCCCAGGAGAAGCCTCACGATCACCGCCCACTTGTTGCACTGTATCCGGAAGTCGTGAGCGATTGTCGGTGCCTTTCTCGCGGCCTGCATCAGCGAGTCTTTGGCATCTGTGTACTCGAGCTGAATAGTTCTGATCTTCCCCAGGTAAAAGAGGTAGCGGCAAAGCTGAGGAAACGGTTTGGACGTTAGGCAAGGCAGAAAACTTATTCTAGTCGATGAACCAGACCTGCTGATTCGCGTGCGACTCCGCTCTTTGCGACTTTGAGCGGAGCTTCTCTGCTTGATCGTACAGATTGTAGTGAAGGTAGTTCCGTAACAGCAGGTTTAGTAGAGTTTCCTGTCAGGATAGCTGTTGAGCAATCACGAACAAGTCACAAACAACACTTACCTGTCCCAGCTCGTCGTGGCGAAGTGTAGCAGTCTGATGCAGAGAAAGAAGTGTCCTGGAAACCATTTGATTAGAAGCCAGTATATGCTGAACGCATGTAATACCCTCGAATATCAGCCAGTGAATCGATGCATTCGTAGCTGAGTGAGTAGTAGAAATACAGTCTCGAGGCCAACACATCCAGAGTCCTCCGGTTTAGCTGCTGCAATCTCTTGATGCCGGCATCTGCACAAGCTTTCGCCTATGGAACAAGATTAGAAATCCTGCTGGCTGGAAGGAAAAAGAAATTCCTTCACCTGTTTATACTGTTTCTGATCGTGCAAGTAGATGAGAACAAGGAGGTAGCATAGGATTTCCAGCTCCGGGAGTACGTTCGGCTTATTGGAAACTTGCGACGGCATATCAACTTCCATCGACACCTTGTCCTCCTCCTGCTGCAAATAGAACAAATGTCTCAGACAACGCAAGGAAAATTCTTGGAGCTAAGAAGAAAAACGAAGAAGAAACACCAGACCAGAAGAGAAACACATGCCAGCATACCTTCTTCACAAACTGGAGCACTGAGTCCGCATCGGTGGACATGACATACTTGACAAACGCGGCAAGAGACCCTGGCTTGAGCTTCCGCTTTATGACCATCACATTCCGGACAGCACGAACCATGAGCCTCATCTCTTTCGTGCTCACGCCCTTCTCCACCAGGGCCGCAATGCTCTTCAGATCTACACGAGAGCTCGAGAGATTGGTCTCTAGGGCTAGGAAGAAAGAGGAAATGCACGAATCTTACGCGAGAGAAGCGACGGCCCGGCCTGGTCCTTGCGATCCGGCGACGACACCGCCGGCGCCGCCTCCTTCATCTCCACATCCTTGCTCTTGGGCGCCGCGGGCTCGGCCTGCTGCTCTGGAAGCGCTCCCATTCGATTACCCTAGATAAAAGTTTTTAGGGTTCTTGAGAAGTCACTGGCATTTTAGGGTTCTTGAGCTATGAACAAGTTCAATGCCGCGCAGCGCAATCTCCAGCGCGATAGGCGCCACAAGAAGGCTCAGGAGAAGCGATTGAGGCTGGGCCTGCAGTCGCTCAAGCTGTCCAGGCAATCGGCGTCGCGCACCCCATCGGGCAAGCGGCAGCGCAAGTTAGAGAAGAAGCTGCGCCGGGTATTCTTGTGAGGGCTTTCAGGGATTTTGCTGAGCTACTACTGAATTGCAGGCGCAGAAGGAAGTTTTGGAGAGCGGCCTCGTGTCGGTGCAAGACATTGAGATGATCTGTGCAGGTTTCTCTCGATCTCTCTCCAGCTCCAGTGATATTTCTTTCTTCTCTGATCCTCTTCTTCCTAGATTCGGCTCCTGACGCGCCAGCGGCCTCCTCCAAGGGATTTTCTCTCAAGCTGAAGAAGCAAAGGAAGCTCAAATTGAAGAAGAACAAGCCTGGTAAGCAAGCTCTCTCGATTTCTCGTGTTCTTCATCCTCTACATTCATCCCTGTGGCAGCCAAAGCGAGCATCGATACTGAATCCACGCCACAAGCGATGATCCAGTAGATCTCTTGTAGCGGTGTTTGTGACGAATAGAGAAGGAAATCTTTTTCTTGTAGCGTTTCTTTGTCCAGGGTTTAGGGTTCTTAGTTTGTGGAATAAATGGAGCCGTGGGAGCGCCATGCCGCTGGCGCTGGAATCAAACGCTTCTCATACGCTGCTGTGGCGGATCATCCCCGCGCTGGATTCCTCGTCACTTGCGCATTTCGTAAGTGATTGATCGATTCTTTGCTTCAGATTTAGAGATTTTTTTCAGGACGCGAGAAGAGTGCTACCAAGGAGATAATGGACATTCTTCCTCAGGTATGAGCTTTCCATTGTAGAAGAGAAAACTAACAAAGCTTTGCTTTGTGCTGTTCTTCTTTTAGTACATTGGAACTTCCAGCAGCATTCCTGGAGACGAGACCCCGGTGAGAGCTGTCCTTTCTCTGGATCTGGAGTTTTTACATGAATTGTAAGTGTAGAAGGAAAACGAGGACAAGAGCACTGCTTCTCCGAGCGGCATTTTCTCGCTTATCAAGCTCTCCGGTAGCGGCATTGTCTTCCTTTCGACTCCAGATGATACAGATGTTGTGAGCGTTCTATCACGAGTTCTAGACGACATAAGAGCTCCACACACGAAGCCTTTCTCGTAAGTTTTCGCTTTCTCTCTGACCTCTAGGATTTATTTCCTCTTTTGAAGGTGGTGTAACAGGCTCACTCCAGTGCAGGCGACGTGCGCATCAGAGGAGGAAGCCATCTTCGTCACAGTTCTGGGGCTCTTGAGAGACGACGCCGGAGGAATCGTCTCAAAGACCGGAAGAAGCAATCTCAAGGTAATGACCATTAAAGAGTTTGCTCTCTCGTCACTTAGCTTTGTGCAGTACGCGGTGGGATTCAACAGTAGAGCTGCCGAAGATGGCAACACTGGCGTGGAGCGAGACGGGTGCATCGCAGCAGTGGCAAGAGCCATGCAAGAATTCGAGCAGCAGGCCTCTGTCAACTTGTCGAATCCAGAGGTAAGGTCTCTCAATCTTTGGAGGAATCTTATAGTTTCTTCATCGTAGATCGTGGTGGCCGTGGAGCTGATTCCTCTGGTTGGAAAGACTACTCCTCTGGCTGGAATTTCTTTGCTGCCCAAGGAAGTTGTAAATGCGAAGCCTCGGATTTCCATCAAGCCCTTGACATCTTTCAAGAAACAAAAGCTTTGTTAGAGTCATACGATTTTAAAGCACGAACCCTAAAACTAGGGTGATGGCGTCTTCTTCAAAACCAACGCTGGTTCTCGACATGGATGAAACACTGATTAGCAGCTTGCGATTTGGAAAGGAAGATGAGTGCTTATCAAGGAGTCTTTGGCATACCAGAGTGGAGGATTGGAATTTCCCATGGCTGTATGTTACTAAGAGACCAGGGTTGGATGAGTTCTTGGCTGCTATGGTAGAAATTTACACCATAGTGATCTACACAAGGTCAATATCTTTCCATGCACGACGGATCGTGGATGAAGTGATTGATCCACATGGTAAGTTTATATCAAGATTGTATAGCAGACGCTTTTGTCAGGTCGTAAAGGACTTGACCCGCTTGAAAAGAAACACCAAGAGGATGGTGTGGATAGATGATCAACCTGTGTACCCTCAACAGCCGGAACTTGGCATTCAGGTGCCCATGTATATGCCGCAAAAGTCAGTGGATAAGATTGAGTGGAAGGAGTGCGAAAACGATCGCACGCTTGTGGAATTGATCCCGTTCCTGACTGCGCTCGCCAAGCTAGATGATTTCTCGATGGGAATTGCGGCGTACAAGCAAGGGAAGTTTGATGGCGAGAAATTTAACTTGGACGAGTCCGACAGTTCGATGATTTTGGGGGATGATGATGCCATGGAGGATGTTTTTGAAGATGATGATAAAGCAGTAGAAGAGAAAGAAGAGAGGCTGAAAGCCGAGGAAGAGAGGGTGAAAGCCCAGCAGGAGCGCGAGAAGCTCGAGGCGGAGGACAAGCTCTTGACACCCGACTCATCAGGACCACTTTGGCGGTACATAGTCAACTTTATCCCTGAGGACAAGCTGAGTCGATCAAAGAAGCTGGCAGCCCACGAGTACATTAGCAAGAAATTCAAGAGCGACGACTATAAGTGTCTGATTGCACTGTTAGCCAGGAAAAAGCATCTCATAGATGACTTGAATTGCCTCGGGAATCTTTCTGTCAACTCCAGGGCCGGGTACTATGATGCCCTAGTGCAAGTGTTTCACGGCCTCGAAGGTCCATGGGACCTTGAATTCATCCTGCCAGTTCTGAGAAAGGTGACGTGCAATTACTTCTACTACGGCAAGGGCATGCAGGTTACATGCTTCAACAGCGAGAACCTTCGGGACTTATGCGAGACCACCATACCTATGCTTGACACACCGCAAGAAATCCGCTTTGACGAAATAATTCCCATGGTTGCAAGTCTGAATTTCCTGAGGGATGAGAACCTCTTGGGCATTACAGTACCTGACTGGTTTCAGCCATCCTCCGGCTCATGTAGCAGCTGGATGTGGTGGCCTCACTTCGTGACCATTGACTTTGAGAGGTAAGATTCTTTTTGCTACTTTTGTGTTGTTGACTTTTGTGCTTGACAGGAGCTTGGTGAAAGGAGAACTTGCCCAGAAACTTGCTACGACCGACACAAAAGGCCTCTTGGGGAAGCTATCGTCCACCACTTGCCGGATAGTTCCGGGTAAGGAGAGGGATTTGTGCTACAAGCAAGACGAGGGGTTACAAGCAGGGATGGATTTCTTCGCAACACCATTTGAGGAATCAAAGGACAAGTTTCTGGTGTGTGACAAAAATCTGGTTCTGTTTAGGCTACAGTTTGTGGATGGGCAAGTTGTAAACTGCGGGCTCTGGCTGATGACGGACTTCAATTCGGAGCAAAATGCTCGAGAGATGGCAGCTAAATTGTGTGTTGATCTAGGCTTGAAGGTTAACCTGGAGTTAGATTATAAACACAACGTGGAAAAGATGAAAACGAGCATGGAAGAGATCACATTGTTATCTTCCTGGTTCTTCGGCAAAGAACATGATGCCATTGTAAATCTTCAAGCTCCTGTTACTGTGAGGTTTTGCCAGTGAAACAGAAAAAGAAGAGATTTATTTATTGTAGTAGGAGTAGAGTCAATCTAAAACCTCCCGATGAATGATATCAAAGCTTGAGAAGTTTCTCCTCTCCTCTTTGTCCATCATTGGAGCTCTAGCCAAAGTTAAGGTACTTCCTTGGGACGAGAAAGTTCGCTGCTGCAAAACAAAACTAAGCCAGGCCGAGATTCCCTGGGAGAACACCACTTCCCGCTGAAAGTTCCAACGCAAGACAGCAGTTCCCTTGGCCGTTGTTTTTTTCCCACGACGGCTTCAAGCCCGGTGCAAAGACCAGATTGGCCTGCACCCTGTTCAGGTTCCAGGACCAGCTGAAGAGAAGGATTTGACCATCTCGGAATCCTTGTTTCATCACAGATCTAGCGCTCGTAGAGGTAAAACCACCTCCAACTTATGCTCGTGATAAAGGTTTCGAGAAACTAGGAACAAACTCAAAGAGTGAAGCGAGCTGTGCACAAAGCCGCCACACCTCGGCATCTTCAGCATCTCTTGAGCCAGATCCTGCGTGCTAGCCTTCGTTTCAAACTTGATGGTGACTACAGCCCAAGCTCGCTAATCATCAAGACTAAAACAAAATCTACCATTTCTACCAGGTGAAGGTTTAATATGACTTCATTCACTTACACGATTGGAAGGAGAAGTGCTCATTCCCTGCTGGAGTTCCAGCTCAGACTGAAATATAATTTACTAATTAATTTAATTACATAAAACTAAAGTTTAGAAAATTGAATACAAAAAGTATAGGATAAAAGATAATAATTGCTGCTTGGGTTTGGTATTTTTTTAAAATATCATTTACTATATATATATATGGATATTTTTTGGAGGATTATATATATACTCCTAACTATTTATATATATATATATATATATATATATATATATATATATATATATATATATGGGTATGACTTTCAAGTTCTATGTAATAAGGCACAAGCAAGTATTGGGCATATACAGTAATATGGAATAGAAAATAATAATAAAATCTCCTATGTTTATTTTGTGGCAGTACGGTAACATGCCACTTTACACATGTAAATGGCATGCAGTATATATAAAAATTTCCAACTATTAGATTGCAAAAGCATATTCTTAGGTTGGGAGAAATTTGTTGGAGTTTCTAATGAGAATATTCCTTATTAAAAAATAGCCAAATTATCACATTAGATTACATTCTAGTTTGGATTACCAATCCTTCATTACTTATTCTTATTAGAACTTTTTAATGGGAGATCCTAAAAGAAATTTTCCCAATAGGTTTTTCTAGATAGATCTAATTACATCAGATTAGATGTTTTGATTACATAGCCATGATGTGGTCGGCCAAATTAGCCATGTAAAATAATCATTCCCCAGTGGAATAAAATCTTTGACAATATCTCATAATGAGAATATTTCCCCTTCTTGTTAGGAAAATTTCTTGATGGGTCGAAATATTTTTTAATAACTAAATTTTTTTCTATCAATGGGATGGACAATATGCCATAATGAGAACATTTCCATCATAAATGTGATTGTGGGTATCAAAAATTATTTATCAATGAGTCCTTTTAGATATTCTTCTTTTACTATTATGATGGTAGGATGTAAGTATTGTTGAACCCTTTATCAATTTCCACCCAAGCTAGTTAATGAACTATTTATCACATGTGCACTTAGACCAAAAGGGCATTAGGGGAGAAAATCCTAAATTATCATTAGTTAAGCATACTTAACATGGTGATTAAAAATTTATATTATTAGCTTACACTTATTAGTGTTGGGAACCCCTATGATATTGAGCTTGGTCCCTCAATATTTGTTAAGTGATAGATTATTGTGTTTGCTAAAACACTCTTGTTATTAGTTCCCTATATGTTGGTTTTATTTAGTCCCATTGATTATTTATGGAAAGGGTTTAGATTTGCTAATTAAGTATATCTATGTAATGTAAAAATTGTCCTAAATATAGTGGTGTTATTCTTGCATCTAAATTTGCAATTTAGCACTATTTCATATTTAATAAATTTTCATAATTGCCCTAAAGACTAACTCTTTTGGGGGGGGGGGGGGGGGGGGGGGCAGTTAGTTTCCAAATGTATAATAAAGATAGTGGGTAGGTTGGGTATGGTAGATCAACAAGAGGGAATGCTCCCGCTTGTATGCCTTTGTTTTGCGACTGTCTTAGATCTAAACTTAAATTCTATACCATGATAGTTGGTGCAATACTCATATCTTTATGTTAAGCTATTAGTATGCTGAAATAACACTAAACTTTGTTAGCCTTGTTTTATGTGTTGGTCTTCATGTTGGGTTGTTAATTGCTCTAACTTTGTGTTACTATCCCTTCATTGTTTGGGTTAAATACTTGAGAATCATTTTGTGCTTTAGTTCTTTCGTTCTTTGGTTATATGGTTAGGAGTTTGGCTCTATCCATTTGTTTAATGGCCCAAATCCCTAAAATTTGAATTCCACTCTATTGTCCTTAAACACATAGCTAAAGGTTTGGATTCCACTTTATGGTTATTCTATGGTAAATTATCATACAATAAAGGGTAAGAACCATATGCACTCCCCCTCTTATTAGGAAAATCTCTTGACAAGTCAAAATATTTCCTAATAGCTAAATTCTTTTATATCAACAAGACAGAAAATTCTCTTGTCAGAAGAATAAACCCTAATAAAATTGCTTTACACACACTAGTTTAATAGATCTAATTCTTTTGTAGTCTCATGGTGGATGTTCAATATGTACGATTTTAATTTTAGGTATCTTACTCAAGGGTATATTATATTTTATATAGCCATTAATCTTACAATTTGAATTTTAGGAGTAAGAATATACCTTGCTCAAGAGTATATTACATAAAGATGCTACTAATAATTTTGAAACTTCAGTAGAGTATTATTTAAGGATTGTCATAAATCCACAAATAATGATCTCCTGAGTAACAAAGGTTATTAGTATTAACCTACAAATAATGATATATTGAGGAATAGGGGTTATAAGTATTATAAAATAAGGAAGGGATGTGTTAGAGATTTACTTATACTTACTAGTTAGTGTGTCTTTCTTTCTCTTGATCTATATTAACTTCTCTAGTATTTTTTGTTGTTGGTAAAAAAATATCTAAACCTAATCATCAATATAAGCTAGATTTACCTTGAAAAAGATATTTACTCATAGTAATTAACTTATTTAGCATTTTTGTTATAAGTCAATGTAAGTTCTTGAATTTGAACTTTTTGGGAGGTCATTAAACTCAATATTACTCAAATCTAAAGACATTTACTTAAGTATTCTAAAGCCTTTAACTATTCAGAAAAATGGGTGCACTTTTTTTCATAAACCCTTTTCCTTTATATTTAAACCCATATGTATCGTCTCTCAAGTCGTTCTTTTTAATTACATAAAATAAAGGATTTAATTCAATGGAGGAGGCTGAGAAGTTTATGTAAGAGTCAATATCAATCAAGTTTGATGTAATTATTATAACCCCAATATCATTTAAAATCATGATCTCTCTAGTGTATGTGTTCATGGGATGAAATTTGAATATATTGTCATGATGGATCCTTGGGATCACTTTGAATCCTTAAGATAATATTATTGTAGATCCTTAAAAATTTTAAGGGATAAATAAGGATAAAATAACCATTAAAGGCTTTTTATCTAATTGGCTTAAAGGGAAGAAATAGAGTGCACTATATCTCTACTCCAAATATATTAACCACTAGTTATATTTTTTAAAATGTTTTTAGAGAAAATCAATTAGAAATTTATATAAAATACTCGTCTAAGTTCTAGTTAAAATGGATTTAATTTTTATTACCTTTATAAGATAATCTGATTAGTTAAATATAGATAATTCTTACAAAACATTCTAGAAGCTAATTTTATATACTAAAAACAAATTGTGATTTCTATTTGATTTCAGGCAATAACTGATGCTTATTCTATAAATAGTCTTTCTAAATTTGCAACACTTTTTTATAGTGATGTATTATATTTAAATACTTATTTTTATTTAGTGTTATATATATTATATTTTTTTAAATTATAAAAAAAAATGAATATTGTTGAAATTAATAAATCATTTTATTTTAAAGTTATTACAATAATGTTTTTCTATAAAGATTAAAAATGTACAAGCATATCTAATAGCACTCTAACAATTGAGAATTAGATCCACCTCATAAACTTGAAATTTCAAAAACTTCAAAAATCAAGAATAAGGATGAATCTAATGAATATGTAGAATTAAAACAAAGAAAGCTTTTCAAATTATCAAGGAATTTTTTTCTATGTCATATTTCAATTAATAAGTTTTTTATATAAATTTTTTTATCATTTTTTATATATAATATATAAAATTTGGACATATCATCATTGTTTATAAAGAAAGTTATTTTGACAGTACATGATTCCTTTTATATAATTGGATTAAAGTGAAAAAATTAAAACATATTTTAAAAATATAATATCTTATGCAAAAGACTTTGCTTTTTTTAAAAACTCATATTATATATATACATAAATAAATTTATATATATAACATTTTCTTATTCCACTATATTTTTGCTCTTGTTAATACATACTTATTTTAAAATTTATTTAAATTATGTTTTTTAATTTATAAAATATCTTAATTATAATTCTATATTAGAAAATCTTAAAAAACTAAGACACGTATCAAATAGTTAAAATGGTTGTATAGTCTTTAATTTAAATGATAGTTATTAAATGAAAAAACATGAACTTCATATATGGCTTTATTGAAAGTGATAATACAACTTTCAAGATATAATACATTGAGGTTTTATATTAAAAAATTCAACTAAAGTATGTTTATTATGTTTGTAACAACCTTTAAATGACCATAAATCCCATCCATACCATCCGTTAGTTTCATATTTTGCTAAACCTTCAAATACTATTACTTTATAATATACATTATTAATTGTAAAATCTATATCTTCTAATGCAGGATTTGGATCTAGTGAATATTTAAATTGATGTGATAACTGATGGATAAAAACATTCACATTTTCACCATGTTTAGCACTATAGTAGCTTAAAATACATGTCATAAGTACACTTGGTTCATCAGAGTTACAGTCAAATTTAATATTATAACAATTAGAGAAATAATCTATTATACAGAAAATTAGAATATAAATTTTCTTATTAAACATATCAGAATATTAAATAGAACAAATAGAACAAATAGAACATGGACGGCTATATATAATGCAAATACCATACCTAAAAAGGACCTAAATACTTGTTTTATTCCTAAAAAAGGAGAAGTGCTTTGCAATGTTCATATCATTAACAAAAAATTTCATTTCCCTGATACCTTCCTGCCAAAATTGCCAGATCAATGCAGTCAAGAAACAAAAAAGGAAAGTGTTTTTACTATTACAACGACCTGGCCAGAAAATAACTTTTGTTTCTATGCTCGTGTGAAATATTTAGTACCAGTGGCTGTGGCTCTGAACCACTGTCGTAGCTATTTGAAGATCAAATGTTCTTTGATCACTGTTCTTCAGGACCAAGAGCAAAGAAGTTGATCAAGCCTCTAAACACTTGTCCACCAAGTTTATTAGCAGCCAAGATTTCCCCATCAACGTTCCATACACTCTCGTCTCCATGGGCCACAAATGTAAAAAGTGGCGTCTGCGCAAGAGAGGAAGATACTTAGGCAGCAAACAAAAGAAACAAAGTGATAAACCTTGTGAAGCTCTATAAAATCCAAACCCAGGGGATTTCCTCCTCTCCTCGTCAGCTGTATCAAGTGCCTACGAAGAAACCAGAAAGTTCAAACGCATTGGAAGAAGAAAAAGCTTACTTACATAAGATAGGCTGGTCGAGAACACTGTTTTACGAGAACCAGATGCAAAAGCCCGTCTGCAAGGTGAGCATGAGCCACCACTCCATCCGGGGCTTTGTCATTTCGACAAGACATTATCGCGGCTCCCACGCTATGGAAGAAAGCTCTTTTTGTGATCCACAGAAGCTGGCCTACATCCTGTGGCAAACTGTGTTCCTTGGCACAAACTCGACAATGGACGCAGCAAATGCTCTGCGACACATTCGGAACATCTAGATACGACACTTCAGCTTCATACTTTCTGCATCAACAGCCAAATTGGAAATCTATGTCGTGCTTGAGATTTCTCACTACCTGTGTCGCATAAACACTTTGGTTCCGGCGTAGTCATAACGAGAAGGTCCCATCCATCGCAAGGATTCACTCTCTCGGGCTACATCCCCGTAAAAGCCATACCTGGAAATCAGTAGAAAGAAATACATCAGCCTGATAAGAAGACGAGCTAAGCTATGAACAAACCCAGAAAACGATGCTGCGTAACGTATCACCGGAGCCTTGGGTTGTTTAGATTCTTTCCAGCCAGTCAGACGAACAATGTCCAGTGGCATGCTATCACCAAGAATGATATGAAGTGCAGCAGTCACTGGATCGCGTGTGCCTGTTGTGCTACAGCAACAAAAACTTTACGTCAACAAAACCTTGACAAATAGACAATTACCTCACGACAATTGTGTCCGTAGAGCCAGCAGGTATAATTCCAAATCGGAGCCATGGAACTAATGGGGCAAATTTGCAAGAGTTTGACAGGGCATGTACCAAAAGAGGCTCTACAAAGACAACAATAAAACATTATTCTCACTAACGCAAAACAACATATACGAACCAGATAAAATCGAAGAACTGGTTTCCGAACAAAGACGTGACTCGCCTAACAGTGCCGCTTCTTCTTCTGCCTTAAGAGATTGAGACCTATGAGAAGTTATTAACTGCGAAATTTGATGAGGTGTAAGCACGCTGGAAGCTTGATGCCTTTTCAAGGCTAAGCCATTTATGACCTCGTTAAAAATCCCATCACCACCCTGGAGGAATAGTCAGCGACGAAAAACTGGGCATTTTCAACACTTACCACCATAACAATCCCGTCATGGCATTTTAGCTCATCGTCTGTTGCATTGTACATCATATCATATGCATGGCCAGCTCTCTCGGTCGTCACAACCTGGTAGAAACGACGGATTAAGAGTGACCAGTCAGAGACAATGAAAGTAAAACCGTGCTCAGCACTTACTTATTTTACCTTCGTCTTTATCCCCGCGCGACTGAAAAGAGGAGAAACCATTGCCCATTTGCTAGAAGCAATGCCTTTGCCACCAAAAGGATTGATAAGCACCTGTAACGTGAAACATCAAAAAAGACGCAAAAAGAAGCAGCGATCGTACCAGCAGATCCTTAGGCCGCTTATGGTCCTTGCTCAGCAAGTTATGCAAGCACTTAACCCATCTGTGGCAAACTTCCAGCTCCGGATGAGCAAAATCGTAAGTTCTAGGCAGCCACTTACTTCTGCTATTGCGTAACCTTTGGAATGAATGTATGGAGAATCGATGCATCTGCGCAAAACAAGACGTCCTATTAGTTCACAGAGAAAAGAAAGAACTTTTCCTACTCGAATCACCGGCTTCAAGAGACGATGAACTGCCGAAGCTCCCACAAATTTTCGCACGGGTCCCCATCCAAAACTCTCGACACCATAGATTTCCGAGAGAGGGAACTCGTGCGGCAAGCTCGCGAGTCGAAAGCACGACAATGAAAAGGACTCCTGGATCATCATCGAATAAAGAAAACAAGCAAAGCATGAGACGAAGAAAGAACAACGAATACAAAAAAGAATATAATACCAACTTGTCTTCCATGCTTTTGCTCTGCCACACAAGACTCCTCTCCGAGAGCGTGACGGTAACGAGCCCGATATGATCCAAATGGAGGTCCGATTCAAGCAAAACATCGCCGCTGTCCGACGCAGTCTCCACAACCCGGTCCTGGAGAATGCTCTCTTGAATGCTGTGATACCTCTGGACCTCCATGGGCGTCAATTCCACCAGCGAGTTCCAGGCGCCCGCAAGATTCATCCCTGGATTCGATCCATTCCTTGCTCGATCGCCGGCGCTAGCGCGCAATCCATACCTCACCTGGAATCGATCGATCGCCAGACCTAGCGCGCAATCCACTCTTCCCTCTCTCTTGCCCTAGATCGCGAAAAAGAGAAGAGCTTCTCTTTTTTTATTTCTTGGAGGAAATTACGAGGAAGAAGAAAAGCTATGAATGGTTAACGAGGCAAAACGGGTGAATGGGCCTCTGCCGTACGATGGCTACCGTACCGGCGGCGCTGATTCCACGAGCCGGGAGCCTTTTAGGGCGAGCAGCAGGACGAGCGCCTAGGCGTCAGTGATCCCCTTTGATTTCTCTCCTCCTCCTTGGATCCATTTCTCCGCCCTTTCCAGTCCATCCCTCGAAGAATCCAGCCCCCGCCCCGGCGCTCTCCTCCGATGTTTCGATCGGCCGTCAAGGCCTTGGCAGATCGGCGTGGGGGCAGCGCCGCCGTGAGCAGCAGCTCCTTGTGCTCCAATGCCTCGATCGCATTCGCCGCCCCGGGCAATCTCTCCAGGTACCTCCTCCCCACGATATTTCGCGATTCCTTCTCCTCGGCGGCGCTCCCGGCGGTGGATCTCGACGCGACCTCGATCGACAGAGCGCCGGAGCACGACGCCAAATCCAAGGGCGGCGGCGCCGCCTCCAGCTCCGCCAAAAGGCCCGCCTTCACGGAGCTTGTGGCGACCAAGAAGGGCCAAAAGCCGCGAGTGGTGGTGCTGGGCACGGGCTGGGCAGCGTGCCGCCTCCTCAAGGATCTCAACACTGACGTCTACGACGTGGTTTGCATCTCGCCCAGGAACCATATGGTTTTCACGCCGCTTCTGGCATCGACATGCGTCGGGACGCTGGAATTTCGATCGGTCTCGGAGCCCGTTCGAAGCATCCAGCCGGCGCTCTCCAGGTCCCCGGATTCCTACTACTTCCACGCCTACTGCACCAGCATAGATCCCATGAACCACGCGGTAAGAACAGCTCAAAGAGATGACAAACTTTGTGTTGTCATCGATCGATCAAATCTCTTCTTTGGATCTTTGGTGGAAGTTCCAACGTTTCGTTTGTGTCCTACGCAGGTATACTGCGAAGCTCTGGATGACGAAGGCGTGACCGAAGGGAACTGGAAGTTTAAAGTTTGCTACGACAAGCTGGTGATCGCGTCCGGGGCCGAGCCTTCCACTTTTGGGATCAAGGGCGTGAACGAGTACGCCACTTTTCTGCGAGAAGTTCCTCATGCCAGAGACATCCGCCGGCGTCTTCTTCTCAATCTGATGCTCTCTGATATTCCTGGTATGGCTAGCTTTTCGTTTTCTTCTGCTTCTTTCGACATGCCAACCTGGTTTTCTCGCAGGTGTTCCGATCGAAGAGAAAGAGAGGCTTTTGCATTGTGTTGTTGTTGGCGGCGGTCCTACTGGCGTTGAGTTCAGCGGTGAGCTGAGCGATTTCATCAGACGCGACGTGCACGAGAAGTATTCCCATGTCAAGGAATACGTTCATGTCACTCTCATTGAGGTATGGAGCTTTTCCTCGGTTTCTGTTCACGGTTTTTAAATGGTACTTCATATCATGCAGGCGAATGAGATCCTCTCGTCATTCGATGTTCGATTGAGGCAATATGCCGTGAATCATCTAAGCAAGGTGTGTAGTCATCTCTCTTTTCACCTCTGAGCTGCTTGGTCGTGCAGTCCGGCGTAAAACTTCTCAGAGGAGTCGTGAAGGAAGTATTCGCCGACAGGCTGATTCTCAACGATGGGTCAACAGTCCCATATGGTGTACTAGTGTGGTCGACTGGGGTTGGGCCTTCAAATTTCGTGAAGAAGCTCGAGTTTGAGAAATCTCCTGGTGGAAGGTGAGTGGTGATCCTGCTCTTCGTAGCTCTCTTTTTATGACGGTTTTGATGATCCCAGAATTGGAGTTGACGAGTATATGCGAGTTCCTCAGTTCGAGGACGTCTACGCCATTGGAGATTGTGCTGGGTATCTCAAGTCGACAGGAAAGCCCATCCTCCCTGCTCTAGCTCAAGTAAGCTGGCCTACTGTTTTTCCTTTCTTCTTTTTCTCTAAAGCGCTGTGTGTGTCTACTGCAGGTTGCTGAAAGACAAGGGAAGTACTTGGGCGCTGCTTTGAATTCCTTGGCACTGGCTGGTGGTGGCCGAGCAGGGGCGGCTAAAACCACCAAGCTTGGTGAGCCTTTCGTGTACAGACATCTTGGGAGTATGGCGAGTGTGGGTCGATACAAAGCGCTGGTTGATCTGCGCGAGAATAAAGTGAGAAGAGCTTTTATCTTTAATGGTCGAGGTAACAAATGATGTTTTGTGATTGATAGGATGCCAAGGGGCTTTCTTGGGCTGGTATCTTGAGTTGGTTGGTGTGGAGATCAGCATATTTAACTCGGGTTGTAAGTTGGAGAAATCGCTTCTACGTTGCTGTCAACTGGGCAACAACGTTTGTGTTTGGACGAGACATTTCAAGATTTTGAGGGTCTTTTTAAATTTATTTATTTATTTATTTTTTTGTAGTTTAGGGCGTAGTTTGTAACGTAACTTTTATTCTTTTCTCTAAGTAAAATAAAACATATTCAAATTTTTATTATGCCACTTCTCTAATTTTAGGTATTTATATTATTATTATTAATTTTTAATCTTGTTGATTGACATTTTTGTTGTTGCAGTAGTTAGAATTTGGTAGCACCACTACATATCATGAGAATTTTGTCAATCATTCTATAACAATTTTATCTAAACATACTATGAGAATTTTGTCATTTCTTTTGTCGAAAGAAGATTTTGTGCTCAACAATATTTTTATATTATTTTTTTTAAAAGTTCGATGCTAGGATTGACAAAACAACAGTGTTTAACAATAACAAAGTAATAATATTATGTTTATTACATTTTCTTGTGTTAGAGCTAAACATTTATGTGCTTGTTTTATTTTATAAATTTATTTCTTTATTATATGCTTTTTTGTAGAAAATTTTATATAATTTTATTTCAATGTTCAAAAATAATATAAAACAAACTAACCAAAAAAAATTAAATGAAATTCCATGTAAAATGGCTAATGAATTTTACAAGACCTCACATATAACATATTGTTACAATATTTATTTTTATTAAGATAGTATTTGACTCACATTAAAGTATGTTAAATTCACTTTTTTAGTGATTTTGAGTTTACTCATATCACATTAACTTTTTTTACAATTTTGGATTATTACAACTATAATAGGTAGTTCAAGTATAATAAGTTTAAATTAATGATGTTAGTAATTTACAAAAAAATAAATTTAAGATGTAAATTTTTAAAGAATATTAAAAATGAATTCTTTCACTTTAATGTTTTACTTTAACCAAATCAGATATTTCTGTATAAATTTTATTTAAAAACAATTAAGTGTGGGATTTATTTAGTGAGGAAGTAAAATTATATAAGTTATGTATCTATGTATTTACCAATAAATTTCTACTAAAATTTTGGTAAAACCCATATAAATGGCTTTAAGATTATAGCAATTATGTATGAATTAAATAAGCATGAATATAAATTATACATCACATTATTTTATTAAAAATGTATAAAATATATTATTATTCCCAGGTAATTTTCAATTTTATTTTTGAATTTTATTTTTATTTTTAAGTAACATTCTCTAATAAATATGCAATATTGCAATTTTTTATTGATAATATAAAAAAATAAAATATACTTTTATTGAAATAAGATTTAAATTTTGATCAATTTCATTTTTATTTTTAGATTGATGCCAAAATGTATATATATCATTGAGATACGATAACCATATTGTTACAGTTGTTTCAACACTAGAGTTCAAGTTCTTCAATGTCGCCAATTGCCTTTGTAGTTGTAAGAAAAATGAAAATTCTTATAAATATTTTTATTTGTATTGATATTAAGAATAATAAATTATCCACTTTACATTAAAAAAATTCAAAAGTAATTTATATAGTTAATTCTAACATATATATTGTGAGGATCTTTTTTGCAATGTTGACATCATATGCCTTCTCCATGATCTTTGAGAACTTGTAAAATCTGACTTTATGTCTTAAAGTTATGCTATGTTTAATTAAAATATTAAAATTATATATTATAAGTTAAATTTTATCAAGAAATTCAACATCTACTGAAACTGCCCTGGAAAAAAAAGAGAAAAAGAATGTATTAGACAATGGTGACAATTATCCAAAGCACTCCATGCTCATCAATCCCTCATCTGAAAAAACAAAACCTCTAAAACTCCATCTCAAGCTTGCTTTCAACACCTCCGGTGGCCTTCAGGAGATGCACATTCGCCTGGAGTGTGATCACTATGATATGCTTGTTTTCGTCCATGTATCTGCCCGAGAACAGATTTGCAGCCTCTGAAGGAACAGCGAAGAACACGGTTACTACCACAGGAGTAGTGGTAACTTTGGCATATATGCGGGTTTGTAGCACAGGTATGAAAGCTCCATCCAGTGTATATGCTCCGAGGCGATCGCTACATATGCATTCTCCTCCTGTATGCACTCCTGGAAACACACTGTACGCAAGTTCGTGTACTTCCACAAGAAACTCACCTTGTGAAACAGAACTTCTTCCTCGCTTTCAGAAACTGTAGCATCGCCCTTTTTCTTTCTAATTGCCACTCCAACGAATGCAGCTAAATGGGGTTAAAGCTTCTGCACGGGATAACATTTGCACTGCGGTATAAATCCATCCGTTGTGAACCAGCACCACCATGCTATTAAGCCTCGTGTATAAGAACACCTCAAATTCCAAGGACATACTGGACGGGATGACGCAATTCAACATGAGATAGAGAGAGAGAGAGAGCATATATATAATCCTTAAGGTTGAAAATCTTACTTTGAGACATGCCTTCTCGATCGATCCTTGTGAACAAAAGAGGCTTGCCAGTGCGGGCTAAGCAGGTCGAATGGGCCTTCTACAGCTACTTAAAAGGGCAAAGATGGTGGTGAATATATTTCGCTAGTATACGCTCAAATCCAATTTAGATTTATATATTTACTGTACAATATAGTTTATTCCAATTTTCTCCACAGAAACGCAGCTTCGTCTGGACGACAACACCGGTAATGTGCTGTATGTATCCACGAAGGCCAGACCAAATATTTCCCAGCTTGTGCGGACAATTCAAGCCCTTGGGGTTGTTGCTTGCTGGCTACCACAACGTGTGTCACCGTATCATCTATATCGACTACGCACTCAGCTCCCAACGCCTGGCAAGAATCCCACAAAAGCTCATGAGCTGCTTGGGTTTTGGCGCATATCACGATCTTGCAACCCGAGAGTGCATGCCCTTTGACCTCTCTCATTGTTTGTCGAACATCCCCCGCAAAGCATCCATATTCTTGGAAGAACTCGCTGTGAATCCTCTTCAGCCCCTCCAAGAGTTTTGCGAGCGTGGCCTTCGTTGCCACCTCATCCTTCTTCTTGCTTGTCAAGCTAGAGCTTTCACGTAGGCCAAATAAACCAGTGCTTGATCGAAAGAAACGGTATTGATCGTAGACAGGGATCAAGTTCTTGTGATGCTTCTTGGGCCAGACATAATCGCTATCATCCACGATCAGCGTGATCGATTCATCCCCCGGTACAGTATCCAAGTCTTTCATCGCCTTCATACAGTTGTGATCCCTGGAGAAAATATGGCCCTTGAACAAGCTTCCAGTCGGATCCAACAGCTTAGCCATGGTCTCGGCATAGATCTCGCGCCCATTGGTGTATATGTGCAAATCAAAGAATTTGCTAGCTTCCTCAAGAAACTTAAAGGCGAATGGCCGAATCTTGGTCCATACCTGCAGGCTCTCTACCTTGTGAAGGAGCTTTCTTCTCTTGGGTGCCTTCTCTTGCCAATCATAGATTTTCTCGAGATACAAGCGTTCTTCCTCATCGACCTTTGAGAACGAAGCGGAATTGAGCAGTGTGTGATCCAGATCTAGCACAAGGATTAGTTTTTGCTGCTGTAGAACCTTCTGGGTGTACTCTTTCCGCAGCTGTGCATCGAAATCTTCTTCTTCTTCTCCGCCTTCAAACTCGCTCCTCCCTCTCTTCCTTGACGCCATGTCGAGAAAACCTAAATCACCCTTTTGGCTCGTCACTTATATAGTGAAGGATAGAGAACGAATATTCCTGCCGGTGAAGAACCCTAATTTATGGCGTCTAGCTCTACCGCCAACGACAGCGAGGACGAAGAGATTTGTGGTGAGCACTTTATTCATTCCATGGCGCTTGTTCTTGAGGATCTCGTGATTTTCAGACACGATGGTTGCCATTCAGCTGATGCTCGCGCAATTCCCAAAGCTAGAACAGGTAAATCTTGCAGCTCCTTTTCTTTGTTCTTTCTCCCAATTGGAGTTTCTCTTTGGTGCTTGCTTTGTAAGTGGAACTTGCGGCCATTTGTGCTGCGCACGCAGCTCTACAGTAGTGTCAAGGACCGAACTACAGTGGATAAAGAACTAGAGGTACTCTTGGAAATCTTTTACTAGTTTTTGTCACTCTCCTCTTTTTTTTTCTGCTGGATCCAGGCATTGAAGCAGCAGCAAGTGGTCCGAATGTTCAAGCTCAATTCGGGGCGAGATGATTTTGCAGTGATGCTGCTGGAG